TTTCTTACATATGATAATATTTGCCAATGTTATAGCTCCTCTAGTACAATAACACAACGGAGTATGTGAAAACCTCTAAAGTAAAACCAGATTCCATTTCCATGTTCAGTAGTCCAATGTAATATGAAAGTCTTAATATACATTCTATGAACAGTAGTTAAATGATCTGACATATTAACTATGACCTGACATGATGACATCACTTCAATATTGCATGATATTTTCATAGAATTCAACTGCTAACAATACTGCAAGGGCAACATGCAATCTGAGAAACTGATTTCTTAATTCAATCATAATAGTTACAGAAAATGATCAATTCACTATATCACAAATATCGCATAAAAGTAAATGTGATTCATTAAATGACATGGTGAAATCATTTATCTATCTACTTTTTTCTATTTTTAACATAGCAGATGACCTTTAGAGATAATGTGCATGTAATACTTATTAAATAAACATATGCATACATTTTTACTATTGTAGATGTCTAGGTTCCTATTGTCAATATCTTAAAGTAGCTCACATTTTAAATATGTGTATACTCCAACTTGCAGTTTCCAATGTGTAAAAAAGAACCCATTATTGTATATTCCAGCATTAATACAGTGTCGTTTATATGTGACAATAGTCATATTTTTGAACACTATGCCATTCTTTAAGGCCACTGTTATGAATTCCATCTTTCAATGTCTACCAAAAAACAGTGCAATTTGAAGAGTATGAGTGTGATTTAAATTAGTTAGCAAAATGGGATGATACAAAATTTATGGGAAGTTGTATATAGACTGTCTTGTTACCAATCTAAATCATAATTTACGGTGAAATAAATGTCCTTGGATGTTATTTTAAAATTACATTTGAAGTATTACTAATTCGTACTAAATGCCCAATTGCTATCTGGCAATGACTTTTATTCATTTCTACATTTGTGAATCTATTTGTGAACTTCACCTAAGTAATCCTCTGGTGGAACTGTACAGATATAGGTTTTCTAAATTTTATATAATATCACTCATATCAACAGGCATCTATCATGTTTACTGAATTTAATAGAAAAAACAGACATTGCCCCATATGTGTCATGCTATTTGTCATTGTAAAGCCTTAACAGATACTTCCTTTTACTATTATCTCATGATTGAATATATTGATTCAGAGATTTAATAAACAAACATTGAAAAGTACAGTTTCTTTATGAGGTAATTGACTGGATAAGTAAAGTTATTTTTGGGTTGCACTAAAAAAATATAAGGCACACATATGGGCATAACACCTTATCTAGAAGTATATATGCCAAGTGATGATACAATTGTCAAGAAAAGAAAATACATGTAAAAATATCATTTTACTGTTTACATCATTGCTTCCTTTTGCTCCAGTCCTGTATTTTTTCTAAGGCGGGACTTAGATGTAGAAGGCAAGGGGGTGTAACAGAAATTACTGTCCCCCTTTCTCTTGGTCCATACTGATCCAGATTGAGTATAAACTAATAAGGTAAATATTTGTTATAAGACAAATGTATAAACCAAATGAGGATGGCATTTAAAACAAAGGACATGTAACATTTCATGAGGGATCCAAATAATAGATACAAGACTAAAACAAGTTCTTTATAATAATAATAAACAAGACACACAGTGATAAATATCGCACTTTGAAGAGCAAACTGGCCACCATGCATTGACCCAGCATGGCCAAAACCTAATCAGACCTTGGCACTAGTCTGTTCTTGCATCTGTAAACATTTCAAGTTGACAAGGTTAGCGGTTTTTCTGCAATTTTGATGACAAGAATTTATTTGTAGTCTTGAACTTTGGAAAAATTTAGATAACATTGTTTGTGACCTTATTTGATGACGTTCGACCTTGAAAATGTCACTTTTTCAGACCTCAGTAGGTGTTTTGTAATTAAGCTGACCTAAATTTAAATCCAAAATATCAATTTAGAAAATCAACTTTTTTGACCTTTTCAAGGTCACCGAAGGTGAATGAAAGGTCAAATCTGAAATCTAAGGTCAGATTTGAACTTCTGAGAACTTGTAGATGTTTCTTAAAAAAAAAATTGGTCAATTTGGAGCAAGTTGAGAAATTCAAAATGGCCGCCAAATTGAAAAATTCAAAATGGCCACCATGTAATTCAGCCAGCATACCCAAAACCTAATCAGATCTTGGCAATAGTCTGCTCTTGCATCTGTAAAAATTTCAAGTTGAACGGATAAGTGGTTTTCCTGGAATTTTGATGACAAGATTTGTTGAAAAATTCAAAATGGCCGCCACGTAGTTTACCCAGCATGCCCTTAACCTAATCAGATCTTGGTATTAGTCTGCTCTTGCATCTGTAAACATTTCAAGTTGAACAGGTAAGCAGTTATCCTGGAAATTTGATGACAAGATTTGGATTATGTGCCGCCCGCACGCCCGCACAACCGCACGCCCGCCCAACAGCACAAGACGACGACAATATAGCACTTTTTCAAAGTGCGATAATAAAAATGTAGATGTAAAATGTGCAATGACTCACACATTTTACTACCTTTCTTTCACTTCTTTCTACATATGAATTGTTTGAGCATTTTCTTTATAACAAACTTTCAGCGGATACTGAATGGGATGGCATTGACATAATATATCATTGTTACTTGTCACGAATAAAAAAAACATATCTTGAGTAAATACTATAGTAACACACTTTTCACAGTAAAATGTTATGAGGTTGCATTTTAAACTATTAATCATAGAAGATATTAGAATTTTTAATTGACGAACTAAAATTGTTCTGAAGTTTATACTCAATACTACATGGAAATGTAAAAAATGAATGCTTTCCTCAAATTTTGGAGAGATATAAAGAGGAATAAGTAAGAACTGACAGACATTTTAATTCTAAGTATTGCACACATTACTCATGTTCCAGGATCTCCACTTCAACAAATCTATCCCATTCAGCTAACATGATGTCTCCATTTCAATCTCAGGCCTTAACATTTTATATCTCAGTTTATTATGGGTGAAGTGCATCTCCAAATACATTTTCTTCACTTTTTTATATCACTTTCTTTTATATCAACTTCTTTGCTCAAAACTGTAAATTGTTTTAATATGGCACCAATCTTAAGTGATTCACCAATTCTGTGCAAGATTGCCAACTGAAATCATTGTCAATAACCAAGTTTCTAATATTATCCAATGGCATTTAAGGCATCTTACATAAATACAACATATAAAGCCAATCCCAGAAAATGTTTAGAACACCAAATGAAGTCTATGCAGTGCTAAGCAAATTTACAGTAACATTTTATAATTGTTGTTTCTTAATATTCTTAAGCCTTTTTTTATAAAAAATATACTTTACTTTACAGAATTAAACTGGATTGGCCTAACATAGTTTACAACTTAACACAATGAATTATAAAACTCTTTGTGATGATTCTAAGATTAGAAAGCTGTACAAACATTATAGAGTGTCATTTAACATTAATGATGGGATCTCCCAATGATTCCTTATATAGCAAAATGGCCATTTTAGGATTAATTTAGGTACAATTGATGCACGCAAATACATATTTGCTAGCTCTTGAGTTTCATATCTAATAAACTGTAAAACCTACACTTGGTACATCTCTATTGAATATATTATTTACAGAGTGTTAAAAAAAAACGCAACCCAAAGAAATCGATATATCTTCGAAAATACTAATGCAATTATGTATTTTACCGAGCATTATAAGATCATAGGAATATGTATCCCATAGTTATATGGTTATATGCCCATTGTGATATGCACATTGGATGGTTTGAAATTCAAATATCAATTGAATTGTTGTAGATGTGTGTAAGATTTGCTGCATGCAGTCTCTATACATGAAATTTTCACACATATGAACATATTAATTCAAACACAGCATTTCTGTGACAAAATGTTACCATCTGGTTGCAATTACATGAGTGTAACCATTTGTTACAGATGCTGGGAAAGATTGTCAGTTGGTTGTCACAAAAGGTGGTTATAATAATACGTCACTACTTGGTGGTGACGAAAAAATAAGAAAGCCATATCAGAAATATGAGAAAGATAACAAAAATTCTGTGGATACATTATGTCATTTTTTGTTAATTGCACAATATGTCAATTTGCTAATTGCACAATACATGTACCCTCTGTAAAGAAAAAAAGGTGCATGGTCCATTGTCAATCATAATTTTTTCACTATTTTGTATTTTATTAAATTCTGAGACAGGTGTAAATATTGTGAACAACTGAAAATGTTAAGAAATTAGATGAAATTTAAAAACGTCTCACAAACTCACTAATGTGACTTTTTCCTTTAAATTACTTCAAAAATTACAATTTGCTATTATACACTGTGATACATTTTCTTCTATAGCTAGGATATCATTTTCTATGTTAAATTCTTCATACCATTGTAAAGCCAATCTCAAACTGTTCATGACTGACAGGATTGATATATAACATTAACACATTAGTACATGTATTCCACATGGTAGTGCCAAAACCCATCTAACACATGGCTTTTAGACGATTTTACCCCTTAAATAATAGTGAAATTAAGGAAGGGATATAACTATTTTGCTCAACAAACACATTTGTATTCACCATCTGACATAAATGTTGGTATGCATAAGCTAATTATAGGATGTATAACATATTTTTCAGTGATTGAGAAAGGCATAGGGTTATAATTATCTTTCAAGTTTATTGTTATATATGTTAGCCTTACCCCTAATTTTGACCTAAAGATAGACCTCTGAATCTGAAGGATATTACCTCAAATTCTATCACAAGAAGGTTCTATTAATCAGACTTCCATTCTATTAACCGATATATTTCAGTTTTATTAGATTGAAAACTATTTAAAATTTGAAATTTTCTCCATTTGGTCAAAGTATTCATACATTTTACCTCTGAATGCTTGATATGACAACAAAGAAAAGTGATAAAGATATGATTGATAAAGGACCTTGCACCTTTTTTCCTTACAGAGGGTACATCGTATTACCCTTTTTAGAAAATATGAAATGCAGTATCTGCATAAAAGCTAATCAAACTGAATACATGTATACTATACCATTGTTGTAAGGTTTACTTAGAGATCTCAATAGATTCTACACATAATTCATTTCATAACTCCAAGACCACACATCATCCCTTTAGCAAAATCAATGCACCCGTCACTTATCTATTGAACAAAATTAATTATGTGTAGAATTTAGAGTGAAACGGTGTTCAAATCACAGGAATGCCCCAGATACAGGTCTCAGGGGTTCAGGATTGGATATCTGTGGAAGTACAGTCTCAAAGTCATTGTTTTGTGGAATTCCTAGTCCCTTAAGAAAATAATTTTCACAGTTTAATGGAACTGTTTGACTAGTCAGTGCCATCTTTAAACAATCTTCAGCAAAATAGTTTCTGAGATCATCACCGATTACGTTCTCCAAGAATCGCCTCAGGGGTAGAATGTGGCTTGTTGGTCCATCCCAGAGAGTTAGGAAATCTTCGACGATGTGGTGCATCATATTGGGTCTTGGCAAAATCTCCCATTTATATTTCTGTTTCATTTGGTTCTCTGAAACATCAAAACACTTGTGCTTAAAAAATCTCTCTACACTCTCATGAAACAGTGTTGTTCAACAGGTCTATTTCAAATACATTTGTACAAATAAAATACATTTTTTGAAGCTTGAAATGTGGAATTTCTAGTTATAATTTCACGCAAGTTAAGTGTAATATTTTAAATGCTTTAATATAGTTTCAAACCAGATCATTACAAAAGACTGGTGACATTATTGTAGATATGATAATATGACAATAAAGTGGTTAAGGTACATATATTTAAGAGAACTTGAATGTAAATAGGTAACTAATAAACCCAGGATTAATTGTCTCAAACTCAATTGATTGGGCAAGTAAAGTACTGATTGGAGAGAAATGATCCAAAGGAACCAAGAACACATTTACATTCTTCAAAACAATACAATCTTTAACCTCCCTCTTATCTATTAGTTACCTGTTGGAAGGGATTCATAATAGTAGAAGACAGGGTGCAGAAAGTTGGACATATGTGCTTCTCCTGGCTCTCCAGTTGCCCGAGTCAGACGGAAAATATCCTCTCCGGGCCCAGAGAAGTTGGCCCCATATTGCAGTACACAGACTATAATTCGGTCAAAGTTGTGACCAGTAAGATTGGGCAGTTGATGTAGATTGTTGATAGGGAACTCTTCAATTACTTCATACTCTGTGCCACCTCTAGAATATAACATTAATAGGATTAATACAGGATATGATATCCTTCGCAAGGCTGCAACTTTTACCCTTTTGCCCTGCCCCCCCCCTCAACCCTCACAATTGGCACAAAGAACTTTTTTGAGCCCAATGTTCGGTTTTAGGGGCCCAAATGTTTTTCTGCGATCTGAGTTGAAATTTCCCCCCCCCACTCCTTGTTAGCTTCAGGATCCACCAGTGTAAAGCTACCAATAATAAATATAATTTTCAAATCAAATCAAATCAAATTTGCTACTTCTAGTTTTATACCAATTGCAATGTTCAGTTTAAAGTTACCATTGTCTCTGTTGATGTATTGCATCAATAAAGTATGATTGACTAATATATTAGTATCATAGTAAATCTTGAGGATTATGATATCTTATTAATAACATAGTTTTAAAGGAGTATGCTTATTTTAACACTGTTGTTCAGTATATTGGTATTAGTCTATACCAATGACCCAAATGAATATCTATTAGACTACAGGATCATCTTACTTATTAATGCCATAGACATCCCCCAACATGGCAAACATCTGGTATGGTCCCGAAGCTTCATTGATGCGCTTAACAATTGTGTTTAGAAGGTCAGTGATTGGTCCAGTCTTAGATGGCCACTTTACCTGCTGGTAACGCCATTCTAACAATCTGTGCAAGGCCAGAGCTGAAATTAGATATATTCTCATATGTTATTTATAATGGTGAGGACAAATCAAGAATAACATTACATTATATTATATGAAATGCAATTACAAGTAATATATGTATATGATATAATATGAATTATAATTATTTATACATTACTAAAATTCTACTTTTCAAGTTTACTGGTATTAATTCTGCTCTGTGTATTTCATTTTACTTTCTGGAAGGTAAATGTTTTTGGAAGGTATCTTGAAGGTTATTTCATGGTTGATTTCCAATATGAATTTTATTACAGTGTTATATGATACTGACCTAGGGAAATATGATATTAACGCGCATAGCGATTGAGTGTCAATATGATGTTTACCAAGATCAATATCACTTTACTGAATGACCCAACCTTCCATGGCAGTGTCTCAATATTGGAAACTTCGGCGGACAAATGAAAAGTATCCAAAATCTGGAGAAAATAGTCATTTTCACTGATAACTCTAATCAGCCACCATACCTGTATATCTGAAGCCATGTATGAATCCTCCCGATGATTTGCGGAAATCGAGAGAATGTCCAGCCGTGCCAGCAATAAAGAGATCATCAATATCTGTAGATTCATAATTTTCCTTAATTTTGGGGAATTTGCTTTTCCTTCCAGATCCTTTGTTAAGCCTTGTGTGGCTGGAAAGTAAGTGCATTCTATTAATTTTGTGTTTTATACTTCACATTACAATGTTATAGGAGGAAACTTATAAGGTCTAATTACATAAGGGTTATGTACTGGGAGGTTTTGGATATGGGGTTTATCCAGAGGGAGATATGCATATCTACCAGAGGGATTGAGGGACCGAAGGTAGATGTGCATATCTCACGAGGGATGAACCCAATATCCAAACTGTCCGTAAATAACTGCTTTATCCTATACCAAGTACAGTTTTCAGTGAAATTACCGGAAGCTGGAAGATATGCACCGAAGCAGGAAGATATGCACCGAAGCGGAAGATATGGCGGGTTCTGGATATAGAAACCTCAAAATCAGGATACAGGTTATATCTTACCAACTTATCTCCCTAAAACTCTACTTGGCATAGGATAAACATGGATATAAAGACAGTCAAATGAATACAGTACATGTACATAATGTTACATGATATGAGATTCATCAAGCTTTTGCCATCTTCTACTATTAATTATTCTCTTATACTGATGTACATTTCTTAAGTTAGTAATTTTCTAAATGACATTTTAAATAATTAAATCAAATCATATCTGATATAAATTCATTTAATCAGTGACCAAAAGCAATGAAAGGTATAATAAACAACCTCCCCTGGAAATGGAACTGTAATGGGAAAATGCCTACAAATATAATATAATAAATGAAGCATCATAAAATGAAAAACCTTTAAAAATCAAACAAGCAAGCAAACAATCTTATACATAATGCAGGCCCGTAGCCAGGATTTGCCAAGGGGGGTTCAGTTTTCAAAAATTTTCGGGGAGGGTTCACATTTGACAATTTTGGCCCAAATACATGTATGGCTAAAATCACTTGAGAAGTGCTCAAAATGGTGAAAAACTGCATGATTTTGAAAGAAATTTTGGCCAGGGGGGGGGGTTCCCCATTACAGGCCTGTAATGTATCCCATAATATGACACTGGTTACTCCATGAATATTTTTCTGGATGGAGATATGTATACTTGATTTTCTTAATGTAATTTTTATTAAATTATGGACATGTATATCTATCTGAGCACTCATTTGTTTCACTAAGTTGTACTCAAGTGGACAATGAATCACTGATAAAATAACATCAGTCTAAGTCGCACGATGTCCACTAAATAAAAGTATAGAAGCAATAAAAGTGTATTTGTTTGATTTATATTCTTTTTGTTATTTTCTCTGAAAAACCAACTTACACCTTATCTAAATATGATATATAGATACATGGCATTCTGAGATTGTTCCCTTGTTCATACCTTTATAAGGTTCAAAAGGGTACCAGGGTTAGAAGCTAAAAAGCCAAACATCAATATTGTGTTCTTGGACCATGTTACTGGATGATTTTCAGATACAAAAATTTACTACTAAAAGCCGCCTCCCAAAAGCAGTCATGAAATGTACAAATTCACTCAATTTCTTACTTCGAAAAGACACTATGGTCAAACATGAACCCAAGACATCGAATAATCCTATCATATCCTTCACGGAAAGCTAAATTGTCCACATCTTCAAACTCTTCCTCTGGGAATTTGACTTAAGTTTCATATTATCTCCTTTTTGAATGGTGACCTCAGTTATATCAACTTCCAATAGACCATCAAGGGATTTCAACTGATATGTGTCCAGTAGACCATTATTGACTGCCCTGAATAGAGATCAGGTTAAAAAGTTTTTAAAAAGTCAGTAGTCATAAAAGGTTAGTTGAAGAAATGATATGGTATTAGTACCCTGGACAGAAACATGTTTCAAGACATTTGGGTAAAATCGCAAGATATAACATGATTCTAACAGTAGCCAATGTTACTGTCTGGGGTATATTAATAGCCTAATCCAGGTCCTTGAAAAATGGAAGTCCCCTAGAAAAGAAGAAACACAATTGTTGATCATTTCTGTTGTAGCTGGCAGTTGGCACGGCAACAGGAACATTCTGTCAAAAAATAGATTTCTTTAATGAGAGACATCTATTTCATGCAATTACTCCAAAATACTATACTCACTTTGCAAATATTGTATGATCAAATTTAAACCCGAGACAACGTATAACACGATCATAACCTTCTCGCAAAGCAAAGTTATCAAATTCAGCATCATCCTGGTTCAGTCCCTCAAGGTTCAAGTAAATTTTTCCATCTTCACGTTTCTCGAATTGTGCATCCTCAACAGGAGATTCTAGTAAACCATCCAGAGATTTGAGCTGATATGTATCCAGTAAGCCATTGTTGACAGCCCTACACAGCAAGACACAAGAAACATACTGTATTCAAAGTCACTTCCTCTATCTGAATGGACAATGCAATCTACACATATTTACATTTCATTAAGGCATTAGCATGCAAAATTTCAACACCATTTGTTACTGACGCCAATTGCCAACCAAAGATCATCAACTGTAGATTGGCAACCATCGTCACAAAAGAACGGAGACTATGTCAATATGTCTCCACTTTTTAGATACATAAAATCAACATATGTGATCTATACAGAATATGCTGACTAGAGATTATTCTAAATTGTTAAATGAATGATACTGTACTGAAATTGGCAAAATGTCTTTGTAAGGTGATATTATAATTATTTGAAATACATACATGTTGCAACAGTTCCATAGCCTTTCATTTACAGGGTTTGTTTAAAGTGTTGTGCATCTTTCTGATTGTTTTTAATTCAAATACTTGAGTACAACTATCAACAACATGTACAGTTAAACCTTTCAATATGAACATATTTCAATATTTGACCACATGATTTATATCACTTGCTTTCTAAGTACATGTAATATACAAGTATTACAAATGTACTTCAGAGGGTACGAGCTATATATCAGATATCAGCCTACCTTAAATCCCCGACATAATGTGTCGCCCATGAGAGCCTCACTCTTGATCTGCCAACCATGTGTACAACATTTGTATACCCAAGAATGCTGTCTGCTACCTCAAATGCAGTATTGCCCCTTCCTGGAACACATGAAGCAAAATATCATGAGGCCAAGTCTTAAAATGTAAATATCAACATATCATAAAATGTAAAATATTCTGAAGTTAAGTTTTAAAATGTAAAACATCATAATTGCAAGTTTTAAATATAGAGTATACTATCAAATTTTAAATGTAAAATATCATGAGGTCAATTCTAAAATATACAATGTCATGAAGTTTTAACAAGGCATTAACATGACAAAAATGTCACCACCTAGTTGCTCATAATATTATGAGTCAGATATGAATTTCTGGAAACTTTGTGGATGATTTTGAAAAAGAAAATTGGTCAATTTGAAGCAAGTTAAAAAAATACCTTTTTGACCCTGAGAAGGTCATTGAAGGTGAAATCTCAAATCTAAAGTCAGATTTGAACTTTTCTGAGAACTTGTAGATGATTTTGAGAAAAATTGAAGTAAGTCTAAACAGTATTTGTTAAGTTATTGGAAGTTTTAAGAATTAAATACAGATGCCAACCACCACCCGTAGATCACCAACCACCAACGGCCAACCATCAACCGCCGCTACAAAAAACAGAGACCATAACAATGTCACCACTTTTTGGTGGTGACATAAAAATGTAAAATGCCATAGGGTCAAAGTTTTAAATGTAGAATATCATAAAGTTTTCAAATGAAAGATTTCACATGAAGTTACTTTAAAAATTTAGATCTTTGAGGGAAACAACTCACATTTTTTAGGAATAGGTCATTTTGAAAAAAATATGCAATCAAAACTATTGCACTGGTATTTCCAATTTTGCATCAATGGAAGTACTGACTAACTACTGAACATATTGTTTCACATAATTCACCATCAAATTGATTTATGATGAAACTATATACATGCAAAACAGATAAACCAATCTGTCAATGAACTTCTCTTGTTTTATCTATAATTCATCATATATGAGATGAAAAAGGAAATTATCTACTCTACTAATGGATCTCAGTTTGGTTTACTCACTCAGTGTCTTCGCTTTGCCACCCACGTTCTTATGAACAACAATTATTCTATTCTTTGTAAATATGAAAAATGTTTATCATACATTTGCCCCAAGGGTTCCAGACCAAAATTATACTCAAGAAGGTGGGTGTCAACCTTTTTTCATAAGTGGCACTCAGTAAGAGTTGCTTGTGTAACAAACGTCCTACCAATAAGAACCATATTGCCTTTGATTAAGGACTCCATGCATGGTAGAGTACCGTACATGTAGTGTCATCTGTGATTTGTGTTTTGCCATGTGAACAGTGAACTATTGAGCTTCAGATACGTCAGCTATGAAGATGCAGTAAAGGGTAAAGTGAAATGCAGTTAACTGAACCACAGCTTCAATATGGCAGCTCCAGAAGTCTGTCCTTATAATATGGCTCTTTGTCCCATTAGAAAAGCACTGATTATAATGAAAACTGTTTTTAAACCCTTAGATGAAATTAAATACTGTACTATTTGACAGTTTCATCTATTTCTATATACTGTACCTTTTTGTTAAGTAAAAATAACTTGGAACTTATTTTGATTAACATTTGAAATATTGCAGCCAACCTAAAACATGAGTCAAATCTCCTCCATTCTGATACCAACAGGCATGGTTAATATGTTGATGATAAAGGGATGGGTCCCGAACAGAAAAACAAAGAAGTTCTTGAATGCTGGTGTCATCTTGATGGTGTTAATATACCAATGCTTTGATGGTGATATATGTGACATCTTATATGGGAATTAATCTATAAAACATAATATCATATGTTGATGGTGTCAATATACCAATTAGATAATGGTATGGGATTATATATAAAGGACACTCTAAAAACTTACATAGCAGTTTCTAATGAGCTGTTCATGATGGAAACCAACGATGACCATATGGAGAGGAAAGATAAAGATGTTCAAGGAATATTTTTACATTATACAAGTATAGCAACAACTCATGGTTGTCAACAGATCTACCAGTCAACATCTAAGCTAATCAAAGTATTTTGGATAATTTTCCTTCTGACGAGTGTTTGTGTAGCGATCTGTTTCATGGGCTTGCTCATTGCAAAATATTTCCAGTATCAGACAATTGATGAAACACAAGCTGAGGATCGGTATGTGGACTTTCCAGCTGTTACAGTATGTAGAACGAATGGTGCTCATGGTTTTGCAAGATTACAGGATATTAGTAAAAAGAATGTTGCAGATACTGTAAAAGATAAAACTGATTTATGGGCTATGCTTAATCCTAACATAATGACGAGAATGATGGATGAAACTGATAACATAAAAAAATTAACTAGAGCTCAAGCCATTTCTCAACATAGCCCTAAAATGGCTCAATATCTTGCACCCAAATATGAGACCTTCATTGTGTCATGTAGATTCAAGGGAAAGAAATGTAACAAAACAAATTTCATAAAAAGGATGAATGGGGAATATTTCAAGTGTTTCACATTCAATAATTCTGCGACAATTAAAAATGTTGGGCCGAGATGGGGACTTTCTCTCACATTCTATTTGGACAGAATCTATGGCATTGATTTAAACTATGATATGGATGCAATGGACATTACAGAATATGGTGTTAAAGTTTCAATTCATGAACCAAATACTATTCCAGACATGGTAAATAATGCAATTACAATTTCTCCTGGATATAATACCAAGATGGCACTAAGACAGACTGTGTTTGGGAAAATGGAACATCCCTGGGGTCAATGTGACAAGTTTAGGGTAAAACTTGTTGACATCGCCTATGAGGCCACAAACATTGCTTACAACCAGGACACATGTCTGAAGATATGCCAGCAGCGATATATTCAAGGGAAATGTGGCTGTCTGAACATTATGCGCCCAGTTCCAAATGATCTTCTAAATGAAACATATTGTTCTGATATTAGCGATAATAATGAAAGCACAATATTCTTAAATGACTTAAACAGACGTATTGAATGTGAAGAGGAGCACCTTAATGATTTATTTGATTCATATAGCAGCCAGTTTAAATGTAACTGTCCTATATCTTGTGAATTCAAAACATATAAGCCTGTAATTTCCAAAGCCAAATGGCCAGCGGAGGAGAACTTTAATTTTTTTTTGATCAAACAAGTCTACCATCAACCCATTATTTTCAATAACACTATGATTTATAAAGCTTTAAAAAACAAGTTCGATCATGATCATTCAGGCACCATGAATGCGACAAACGACAAACTTTATGACATGACCCAAGAGAACTTTGCAAGACTAAATGTGTTCTACAGATCTCTCACTATAAAGATGATAACCCAGAAGCCATCATACACACTTGAAGATTTGATATCTGCTATAGGAGGAATTTTCGGATTTTATGTTGGGATGTCTATTCTGAGCGTACTAGAGGTTTTTCAACTGATTGCGATTGTTTTCGGCAAGTCCTGTAAAAAAAGGTTTACTCAAAGGCCTAAACATTGATAATATATAAATTGAATTATAAATACCATAAAATAAACAATTCTTGGGTTCAATGGGTTGTCACGTTTACCATTAAGAAAATTAGAAATGGTCTGATTCTGATAAAGATCAAAAGGCCAAAAGATTTTTTCTTTTTAAAATTTTTATTCCAAAAATATAACATATTAAAGTACATTTAATACATTAAAAATATATATATACATTACAAGAACAGAAAAACGTCAATAAAACATTACAGATACTTTTTATCATATCAAAATCTATATTGAATTTGATTATAATAGAAAAACCCTGTTGTAAGACAAGAGGTTCAATAAAAGGACAAAAGAAAAAATTCTGGGGTTCAAATTGGGTGATTTTGGCATATTTTGGCATTTGAAGCGTGTTTTGTAAAATGGCCATAAGATCGTAACCTTTAGAAATAGTAGATAAATGAAACTTAGTAGAAGGTAAGAAAATGGAACAAGGTTTGATTGTGTCAAATGCATGTACAAAACGATGCTGGATCACTGAGTTATGAACATTTGTTTTTTGCTGACCCTGTGCAATGAAAAAATCCAATTTGAGTGAAATGTTCCCATGATATGATTCTGTTAAAGGGTGACGCATATCGTTTAGCAAATCGAACGCTCGTTTCTGGTGTTGCTCACCGTTTAGTATAAAAGGCCCGATCCCGGAATAATACTCAAGGGTTCACAGGTTCGATGTCGTTGTGTCAACACCTCTGACTGTTATATAGCATAAGTATATTATAGATCGTCACACATTTATAAAAGGGTGATTTTTATTTTGACAAATCAATTCCAAATTTATGGAAGTTTCAGGATCTTCTAATTGTGTATAATAAGGAAAAATTGGCATCTAAATTTTCCCATAACGTAATAGCACACAGCTTGGCATATGAAATATCCTACAAATGAAACAAAGCAGTTCTAATACAAGGATTTATATTGGCTGTTGTACATGTACTGTTTGAATGCAATCACTCCATGGATAACGTTTTCAAAATCATTATAAACGGATTACTTTATCTCAAAGACAATTTCAATAAACTGGATTTCACAGAACTCCCCTTATTTCTTAAAAATGGACTGATCCAGTTGATTCACCTGGAGCCGCCATATTGTTTTTATACGGGATGCTTATTGGAACCCTTTAAACACAATGGTCCCTCATATTGAAACCTGAGAATCTACTTTATGATCTAGTCTCTCAAGTTGAACTACAAGACTCTCTACATTGTATATGATCTGGTCCCTAAAGTTAAAATACAAGACTTTAACTAATTTATGATCATTATTTCTAGACAACAGTCAATGATAAGGAGATGCTGTCAGTGGAAGTAAATCTATGAGAACAATTCAATTTCATTTGAATAGCCTAATTTTGCTGAGTAGACTGAATGAAATTAATCTTTTTCCAGAACTCTTTAACAAGAGTGTCATGAAAACATTTTACAATTCCATTTTACGCTTCACTTATTGTCTAATCATAACAAAATAATCATAATACATCACCCTTTACAATTCCCCCGTCTGTGCAAAGCTACACTGGTGTTATAATGCGTGCACAAACAGTGACCTTGACGTCATAATAATTCTGTTAATTGAAAATGCCAAGATGATCTTGATTTTGATGACCTGTCAGGACAATCATATCAAGCGATATATATTTCAAAATGATAAAATAAACTTGGTGGCCCGTCTTTAAGGCTAAGAGTGCATATAGTTATATAACCGTTGTTTGGTTTCATACAGATGTAAACCATCAAAATTATTTATATCACAGTTCTAACTTAGATGTAACAGTATCCCCAATTTTAAACACCAGCGTTATATAACATCGGCATTGTAATGTAAATACGGTAATAGAGTGGATAAAGTAAGGATGGGAGACTGAATAATTATTTAACTTCTTGAGTAGAACCCCTTTTAAGATAGATATCTTACCATAGCAACCGCATCTTAAAAGATTGCTGGGAACATAAATCATAATTATTGTATTAGAGCTCATTATGAACAGGATAAAACACAAAATTGTTTGAACAGGTGTCATAAACTCTAAGTATATAGCAACCTTTGAGCTTTCAAGAGTAATAAGATTGAATCTTTCTAATTCTGTATTAGGTATTGCATTGAGCAACTTATATTATTTGATCATTATTTCAATTCAGCCATGTTAACTAGGTGTTTCGTCACCAAAAGTCTCCAACCATGCCGTAAAGTACATTTCTATTTTTCATTTTCTGAAACAATTTGCTTTGCATATTAAAGGTGAGTATTTCAATAGGATCTCGCTTTCCCATCAATTACAACTATCCTATAAAACAGATATAAATTGAATGAGACAGAATCAACAACAAATACATACACAACATGTCATGTAATTTCCTCTTTAATGCTTATCAGAAATTAGGTAAAAGGTTTCCTCGGAAGTTGTGAGATCTTTAACACAACTTTAAAGTGAACAAGCTGAGGATGAGTCCTTTGTAAATTCCCACAAATACATCCATAGTTCTGCATATAATTACGTTATTTTTCTTGGCTTCTATTGGGCAATCACACAAAAGTGTAACAATTGTTACAGATGCCAATACCAAATGCAGGTCACATATCAATATGTCGTTACTTCATAGTGGTGGTATAGTGCGAACCCCCAGTCAAAAATTCCCAAAAGTACATTAATTAAATTAGGTAAGATTAAACCCATCATGAGAAACCATGGCCTTCATATAGCGTTTAGTAACGTTCAAATCTATAAGGGCAGAATGTCTAGGAGCAAAATCATTTCATCAGTATATCAAAACATATAGTAATTGGCCATTTAATTCAATCATAATAATTGTTTTTTTCTGAAAAGTTACTAATTCATACGAAGCAACAGTGTATCTTTTAGAATTAATTCTTTTCTTAAATTTAAATCTTAAATAAAATAGGATTAGTGTCAGAATGTAATGGATTACTTATTACAATTTAATAAATTAATGAGATTTTATGATCAATATTTTAAACTAGTGAGAAAAATTAATGCCAACTTTACATTAAAGAAATACAAGAATATACAGTGTACTTGTAGTGAAGAATAACATGACCTAATTGAGAGCAACTGATGCCGAATTAGCATGGTGGTCTACAGTATAAGTACACTGAATGCCTCAGAGGGACAAGTAAATAGCTGGATGGTATTGATAAAAATATAATAATAGATTGTGTTACATGATGATTAGATTGAATTCTTCAATAAAAATCTCATAGGAAATAACATATTGTATATTTGTATGATGTCATTTGTCAGAGAAAGAGTACAAAAAGTAGGCTTGTGTTCCTATGAATGCAAACATGTACTGGGTCAGTATTGATGATAACAAAACATACCACAATACAACATGTGTTGTTTTCTCAATAAAACTTTTGCTTCTATTCAGTCAAAAATCACTGAACTGTAATTATCTATTCTATCTGGTGAATGCAGGGATCAATATCTTTATGGTTGTCCTAAAACATAACTTATTTCAGACTCCACCATCAACCCAAAAAATAATTGAATTTCCCATATTCTGTGTGTTGATTTATATTTTCAAGAAGTAAAAGCCCTTGCAAAAGTAGATAAGATTTTTACCCCCTCCCTCAAATGTACTACAGCAGGAATGTCAGGCAAATAACATAAATAAACCTTCTCCTATAAATACACAATCACCTTCATATATTCATTTTAAAGCATTCATATTCTGCAATAGCAAAACCAACTACAGAAAAAATGATATGTTTAAAAGGAATAATCTGTTTTATCAATACACAGGAAGATAGGATTGGAGGCTATTAAGCTTGTCATCTTAATGTGTTTTATTACTTAAAAGGGTGATTAGTTATAATTAACTGAAATTAAAGATTTATTACTTACTCAAAGAAGTATTATATTGCAAATCTGTTTTTGGCAACAATTAACTTTTTTGAGGGTACATTTCTCACAATTCAGAGGTATATGACACCATGGGCTCTACCACCTGATAGAGTCCATGATGACACTTCATTGGAGCTTTGAATCTTTGAATGATGTATAATTTGATGCATCTGTTGATGTGAAATCAGGTGGGATATTTACATTGAGGCCACTCTGTTTATGACATGTAGGGTGCATTTATAGTGGCCACCCTGTAACAGAGAAGGTATGACTTACCCAGGATAAGTACACTCTGACCCTCATAGTCCTCTCCATTCACTGATATGTCCTCATAGCCTTCTGTATATTCAGATCCCTTAAAGTTGGGAATGTTAGGTTTTGAGTAACCAGTGGCAACTATTAGAACTCTGAAAAATAGAAAAATTTTGTAGAATTTTTGACACAGCCAAGGCTATTGCTACAGCTACAATACAAATACATTCTTTAGTAATTTAAAATTTTGAAGCAAGTACAGTAGTTGAGAAATTACTGAAATGCTTACAACATTTTAGTGTTTCATCTTTTGTTTAATTTTACTTTTCATTGTAAAAACACAATTGAACTTAGTATTCCTGTTTTATATCTAAGAGATTCAAAAACCCTAATTTGAATCCTCCAAAAAACTTTTATATGAGCACTGCCTTTAGCGGACACTTCACTTACTTGCATGTGTATGTGGTTTTGTGTTGATCCTCCATATAAAATAGTTCTCTGTCATGGAGCTTGCTAAACTTCTTTCTGACATTACTGTGAAATAAGGAAACATTTAAACTAAATAGAGACGAATGTGTGAAAACATAGACACATAAAAAGGAACTACAAAAGAAATCACAAATATTTTACATTGATAATCAATTTTAAGGTTCTTCTTAAGTTATGTGTTTTAGTAATCTTGCCATGTGTGCTTTCACTGAGCCAAATTCGAGAGTCAATTTATTGTTTAATTTCACTTACGCCACTTACCTAATATCGGTTTGATATTGTACTTTAATATTCAATTTATTTTTATAATCATCTAAATATTTTAGAAGGACATCTTTATGTGGGAAGAATTCCTTTGAATAATGTCGTATTTGAAGAGATTCGTCATCACTGAGGAGGGAGTTCCAATCATGACGCATGTTGAATTCTTTATTTGTCTTCCCCGTGTTTCTCTTGTTTATACTTATCAGTCTTTCGTGTCGTGGATACTTGACAAAAAAATTGCCTGAAAATAAAAAGAAACAAAATGTTCAATAAGGTAAATGTTAAAGGGCTAATGGGAAGTTGTGGATATTGAGTTTTTTCTTGGGGATTTACATGTATATTCTATTCAAATATTCAAGGGACTTATAGACGTGATAAATTAATTGAATGGTAACAGTAAATCTGACAATGATTATATTGGAAAATCTTGGCAATTAGATTCCTTTTTCTTTATCTATTAATTAAAACAGACAATATACCTTTGAAATATCAATCAAAAAGATGTAAGGAAACATCGTTTAATTACTGGATCTTGAACTATTGAGTGAATTGTATCTATAATTTTAGTTTGGCATTAGAATTTTCTCATGTTTTGTACTAAATTTTGCACGTAATTCTTTTTGTTTATTTTATTAAGTGTGTTGGTCGCAAAATGCAATTTCATGAACTAAATAGCATGTTGAAGGAACTGATCCCTTTTCAAGAAACAAATCTCACACTTCCAAGGTCTGTGAAGAAAACAAGGATGGTTAGGTGGTCTAGCATTTCAAAATCAAAATCTGACAAAATCAGTCCCCTCTTCATTTTTACATATACTGAACTTGAATGAAATATGAATTTTTTTGCCTAGATCTTTATTTTATCAAAAAGTTTGATAATAGTTCACTGCACGCCAGTTTATCAATTAATACTTACAGTGTATAATGCAACCAAATAAGATCTTGTGATTTTCAATGAGATTTTGTGACGAAAGCTGAGACTAATAATGCTTTGCCCAACACCATAGTGATATTTTTTATTCATTTTTTTAGTAGTGATATTGTGATATGTTGAAAGCCATTGCTGCCATGGGAGTTTGAAATCCCTACAGATGTAAATTTTACAGGGCCATTCAGGTTTTTATAGGAACTGTACATACCTGATACATTCCCTCGTTCAAATATAATATAATTTCTGTTAGCTTTGTTCATAAAGTGTCCCATCTGTAAACCCCCTGGGCCAGCACCAATTATACAGTATTCATGGTAATTGGAAGCCTCTGGTGTGGCCCCTGTAGCAACCGTTGCCATGGCAATGATCACTCCAAGCACCGGTAAAATATATGTTTTTGGCATTGTGTAGAGTTGCATATTTCTTATTGATAATCTGGAAATATATAAACCAAAGCATAAACAAAACAAAATTCATTATTCAATTGTCAACAAAGCAACCTAGTGACCAATGTCACCATAGCAACCAAGTTATCAATTCCACTAAAACAGCTAAAAGTTTAAATCAAATATCCAAGGAAGAATATATTATTTATTGGTACCACTGCTAGTAAGACTGCTCATCTGAAACACTTGCAGAAGATATTAACAAGTTCATTTGACAATATAAATACATGCATGAACTAAACGAATAACATTTATATACCCGTATAAACAGTCTGTTTATGCAAATAAAAGATGACACCGATAAATTAGTAATAGAATGTAGAATTTTCTAACAGAAATGATGGTGCAAAAGGTTTTCCTGAAATGTATATAAATTATTAAGGTAGACAGTGTGCAAATCTATAATTTGAGGTCAAAATTATATGTGGCATTCCTAAAGATAAGTCTTTTCATTAAATTAATATAGATAATAGCCAATATTTGAAATACTTCAATTATCAATTGTTTCATGCTTCATTGGTTAATCTCACACTGATCCACAATTAAATTAAGATTTATGAAATAAATAGATTACCATATAAAAAAAATTAAATTATCCTATACTCTTCCAGGATGTGTTTCATCCAAGGCTAATAGCTGAATTATTGGGATCATCATATTTGATAATTGAATGTAATTACAAAGAAATGATTTGACTAAATATGTTGTTTCCATATTAAATTGTATAAATATCCTGGAAAATTGGTTAGTTCAATAAAATTCCAAGTATGTATGACCTTGGAAAAATTTGCAATTAAATCATGATTCTCAGTTTAATAGACCTTTCTACTTAACTCTGCCACCTTTTGATAAATCAAAGAAGCTTTGATATATTGGTTAGATTGATGATGTCATTGATTGTACTTTATCAAATTAGCAATAAGTTTATCCTATTTTTGCTTGCAGAGATTGCTACCTTAAAGACATCATCAATCTATAGTAGAACCAGTCTTCGTGAACACATCTCTCTAGTGAACACCTTTGTTAGTGAACACCACTTCAATACACATATTACTTTGACTCCTGTATAAAATCCCCTCACTGTAGTGAACATCTACCTACAGTGAATTCTTTTTGTAGCTCAATAGGTGTTCGCTATATACAGGTTATACTGTATACTAAATAAGCTGTTACCCGTATTTACCGCTTTACCAAAAATTCATGGTGATGAAGTCTAATTCAATAGAGTAAAACCATCCATATAGAAAGAACACAATTTAACTGTAAGTCAAGTGTTCAATCTACCTACGTTTAACTGTAGTTGTTTTTTCTATTTCAACTTCTCTAATGACAATATATATCCGGGTTTAATAGTTGAGTTGCCTAATCCTCTCTAAATCCAGATAATCTTATTGATTTTCTCTACACCATCTCAATTACATTTTGCTGATTATGTTGTTTTAATTAGAAGTTATACTCCAGAAAACCTACTTAAAGGCTCAATGCCTTTGTAAGAAGAAAACATCTGCAAGTTAAAGACTTCTGTCATTAGGGTAAAACATCCACAAAAATGAACCCTCTGTGCTAGGACTGCTAAGAGAATACTTCTGCAAGTTAAATAGATCTTCAACTTGAGCATATCTGCAAATTAAGCCTTCAGAAGTTAGAAACCAATGCATACATATAACATGTAAAGATGAACATATTTTGGAGATATTACAATCTAAAGCATTTTTCTCTATTTCTCTATTGCATTGTATTTGCATTTTCTCTAGCTCTATTGCATTATATTTGCATTTTTCTCTATTGCATTATATTTGCATTTTCTCTATTTCATTATATTTGCATTTTCTCTATTGCATTGTATTTGCATTTTCTCTATTGTATTGTACAAGTATTTTCTTTACAGAATTGTATTTGCATTTTCTCTATTGCATTATATTTGCATTTTCTCTATTGCATTATATTTACATTTTCCCTATTGTATTGTATTTGTATTTTCTCTACAGAATTGCATTTGCATTTTTTCTATTGCTCTGCATTTTCATTTTACAAAGAATTACAATATGAAACCAAACAGAATTAAGTAAATGTTTAATAATAATTTATAATATTTTTTTATGTTCTGTGGCATGATAAAAAAGACAGCACTTGACAGCTTCATCAATTTCCTTACTGAAGCAATACTGTACATGTTGTAATTAAACACTCTCATTAATTGAATCTAATCAAAGGGAAATATATGAATTCAATCTCTACTTACACAAGAGATAAGCACATATCATTATTCATTGAAAGTCGTCCCTTGCAAAGGACGGAGGATCTCTAATCTGACATACACATTTATTTATATTTTCAGCACATTTTATCGCCCACTCTTTCTGATACTAACATTATTGAATACGAGCAAAACAATGGTGTTTTAACAGTCCACATAGAATTGCATTTCTAAAGGCTTGATCAATGCGAAAATAAATATTACAAAGACAAAAGTAAGTTACGAAGACCTGAGTAAATATAATTATAAGAGTTCATCAATGTTAGATTCCATTTGTGATTAGATCTGACAATTATGACAAAGTCAGGACTTCATCAACTGATGAAGAAATAAAATCAGCAAAACCCATTTCTAAAATACCATAATACCCCTTAAACAATTTTAAAATAGGGTGTAAAAAAGTGAAATAAGTAATGTAGAATGTTGACACTTTAAATTGTATAAATATTCAAGATATGTTTTGATTCTACTCCTTTCTCTTAGGTTGAGGAGAAATAGATAAATGTCTGAAAAGAATACCAGGACTGTAATAAAGTGATAATATAATACACAGCGGAATTGGTCATCTGGGGATCATGCTAATAAGTACCAGTACCATGTCGATAACATATTTGTAGCTTTTCTGAGTCAACACACTGCAGTGCAATGTCATATGGAAAAAATGTTCATTTATGCATGGCATTGATGATGATTTCATCTAGCCTTTATTCAATCAGTATTGTTAGTCAGAAAATATCTACTTTACATTTACATATAGTGTATCAAAAATTTGTGTCATGCTTTAATTCTCTATTAAGACTACTTTCAAAATCATCAAAATCTTAATCAATGAAGAAATAAGATCAATCTAATAAAATTTTAATGGTATCAGAATTGTGAAATTATTTATAGAATTAAGAAGATAATGTAGCTAAGAAAGAGCAATATTTTGAAGCATCCAGAGAGGATCATAAATTTAGTTTTTCACTGACAAAATAATAAGCTTTTGATTGGTTTATTGAACGCTAACTGATAACTGCTGCTGCATTTCGTACATAAGAAATCTGTATATTAATCCCATAATGTTATTACAATATTTCATAATTCAAACTTTACATGCTACTAATAATATAACAAGTGTTCATTCTCATTTTTAAAACTTACTCTGACAGAAGCAGGATGATGTTTGTATTCCCAAGCAATTTTGCTAATTTGTCCAAATAGAAAACTAAAAGCCAATTTCACAGATAAAATCCACTTATTTGACAGATATACTTGGTTTTTATATTCCCTAACTTATATCCAATGTTCCCAGAAAGTTCAATCTTTTATGGAAACTAACTCTTAAAGATTCTGGTCCTGGATTGTGATATTGGTTCTCGATTGGAGGGGGATGTTAGACATTGTTTCTTTTCACTTTAGATCATGGTTTTTGGGATATATAGGGTCTACTTTTCTAATGACAGATTTACACTTACAGTTTGCTTTTCTTGTTGGGTTTTCTTAAAGCTTTTAGTCACCCTTTCCTTTTGGCATTTGTGCTTATATATATCTATACTCAGACAAACTATACACTCACTCCATTTAAGACCCTGAATCAAAATGTTCAGACTGTACTAATTACACAATAGTATTTCAGAACCTACTACAAAGAGTAGAATAAAAAGGTTCATACAAAGAAAGAAAGACAACCAAATAATGTTACATATTTATAATCATAACTAGCAAAAGCTACACTATTTTTCTAATTTCAAATGAAATTCTGCAAGAAAATTGAAACGAAACCTGATATTAGACAAAATGAACTACAGTAAACTTGACTCATTGTTTTGCCAACTTGATACTGTACTTGTGTAAAAAAATAGCTTTATTTCTTCTTTTACTCTATCACGCCTAACCATCGACAAGGTACAGTCACGTGACAGGTGACAAAATATGCCGTAGTACACTTTTGATGTACTATGTCACTATTAACTGATTTTGAGCGAAGACCATGATGTAGGTTCGATGCAGGTTTTCAAAAATAAATTTTAGGAGAACACAAAGGATTTTATGTTTGATTTCGCGTGCATTCGATTTCAAAGACATTTATTTTTCTAATAACGTTAAAAGATCTTCGAGCAGTGCTCGATTTTTTTCGTTGTTAGTCTACCCATACGATTCTTCGGTTGGAAAAATGTTGTTTTTTACACATTTCCTTTGATAATTTTTTCCCCTGACGTCTCAGAGTGTCGAATATTTTTATGAGAATGTGTTTCTCTAAACTACACAGTTTAGGACAGGTGAACATTTAATAAACATTCATGCATTTGATATAATTTAAAAAATCAGAAATGTACGTTGTCAACTCACAGTGTATGTTGTCCCTGTAATTGAAATACATGAGTTATAATATTAAACATTGCAATGATTTAATTTCAAAATGCATTAAGGGTTTTATGCGTTACAAGTGATGTTCAACGAACATGCTCCTGTATCCCTAGTACAGATAAACAGGTAAAAGTGATTTTTTCGTTGAATGCTATTTTATTTTATGAAAGTATTAATATGGTGATTAATATGTGACCACGGCGTGTTTTCTTCCGACCTCTTTAACCACTCGACGTCGGTACGTTACGTTATGTTTAGTTGCACTTTTATGAATTTTAATAATCTTAAGGAGTTCATGGAGAGATCTTTACTAGCTAATCCAAGATGACTTTATGCTACAGGGTGTCCCGAAATTATGGGCCCCCATAGGCAGACATATACCAATGTCTCCATGTATGTGTCGTATATCATTTTAAAGCTCATCCAAAGTTACATTAATTTGCCGAGTATCATGGTTCAACTCACAAATGGAAAAAGTTACAGGAATTTCAAAAGTTAGTGTTTGGACAAAATTAAAGTCAGTTTTACACCAAAACAATAGTCGGTGTGTCTCCTTAGCCGCCATGTTAACAGCAGGAATACTTTCCATATATGATCTTAAACTGGCTTCAAATAGGGATATGGCGTTTTGTAATCTTGATAAAACCTTTTTAAGGCATAAGAAGAGTTTCCTTGGAGTATCTACCCTAAACGTCATCTTTTTAGTACTCGATATCCATTTATTATCTTCGAGAATAGCATCCATATTTTCTGTCACATTCAGGTCAGGGCTGTTTCCAGGATACTGAAATGAACTTTTTGGCAAAACGCTAATTTTTGAAATGCCTGTTACTTTTTATCATTTGAACCATCATATTTGGCAAATCAATGTAACTTTGGATAAGCTTAAATATGATATATGACACATACTATGGAGAAATTGGTATATGTCTGCCTAGGGGGGAAAGTGCAGAAGTTCAAAAGCCAGGGTTATGGAATACTAAAAAATTATTAGTAACATTGAAATTTAATCATATCAATGACAATTTTATTGATTAACGGACAAAATATTAGAGTAAATTTTTCGATATGCCAGCCCTATTATTATAAATTATTACTTTATTATCAAATATGTTCCTTCTATTACACGTACATTATAGCATTTCATTCATGTAAAATTAACTGTGAATTGAGATCTGTAAGGCCAATGTGACAACATACATTCGAGTTGACAACATACATTATCTGTTTTTCGTAGTAGCATCCAAAGTAAAAAGCGGTTTTGCATTAACTCTGGATGTATATTTGTATACTTATCTTAAGTTATGTTAGTCGTAGTTTGGCTGTTATTTGCATAGCAAAACAAAAATTAGAGAGAATTTTGCGAAATTCAGTCAAGATTTAGAGATCCCTGACGTACTGGGTAGATCTATAACAAGATATTGAAGTTGCTGAGGATCATTTGAAGTAGATATGCATATTTGCAACTTAATTACAAATCGAATGCAACAACTGCCTGATGATGAACTGACACAATATTGATCAAATCAATGCTAGTTCTTACCTCGCTTCCTCATTCTAGAAAATGGCGATATAAAATGGCGGAAAAGACATAGTACATCAAAAGTGTACTACGGAATATTTTGTCACTGTCACGTGACTGTACCTTGTCGATGGTTAGGCGTGTCTATCTCTTGTTTTTTAAACTCTGAATGAACAACTTAACAAGACATTTCTAGTTCTGTATCTGTATGTTCTGTATCTATACAACACTGGCGGATTAGGGGGGGGGGGGGCCTGGGGGCCCGCCCCCCCCCTTGGGTGGGCCCAGAAAAAAAAATTGGGCCCAAAAAAATGTTGGGCCAAAAAAGGCCTTAAGGCCCCATAAAGTGGGCCTTTTTGGTCATAATTTGGCCTTGTAAGGCCTTATTTTTAAATTCAGGCCAAATTTTGAAGAAAATGGGCCTCAAAATTTCAAAATTTGGGCCCACTTTGGGGTTTTAGGGGCCCTAGGCAGACTTTTTTCCCTGACCTGAAATTTGGGGCCCCCCCCCCTTGTTGCTTCCCAGATCCGCCCCTGTATACAATGACATTTTTGTGCTACTATATTTCTGTACAATAACATTTCTATACAGTTACATTTCTGATATTTATTTATTTAAGATATTTTTGTACAATGACACGACAATGAAATTTATGTCACTGATACATTCTTTAACAATGATATTTCTTAAAATTCAATTTTAGTAACATTTCTGTACAATGATACTTCTGAGTGATAAGTCTATACAATAGCATTTCTTAACAATATTATTTGTCTGTACAATACCATTTCTGTTTATTATGGGGTGTTATGTTCAAAGTACAATAAAACCTGTCTAAATACAACACCCTTAGTACCTCTAAAAAGTGTTCCACTTTGGGAGGTGTTTAATAAAGGAGGTTCATTTAACAATTCGTTAAGTCAGTTATATTTTGGGACTCTGAAAAATGTTCTACTAACAGAGGTGTTCCAATTACAGAGGTGTTCCACTTGAGAGGTTCTACTGTACTATAAAGAATCTACTCTGCTACTCTTTAATTGGAGGAAATGAACAAACTGACATCATGACGCACAATCAGATGTCAACATGCCAGCATATCAGAGCTTTACACGAGGAAGAAATTATTTGCAATCATAAACACAAAGTTAAAAGTCCATCATTCTTTTATTTCTTTGTTACATTTATTGAAATTGATGGAACTCAAATGAAATGAAAGCATTAAATCAGTAACACCACTCAATTGTCAATATTATCAGTATAATGAGCAATGTGTTAAACAAGTCTCACGTATGAATAGCCAAAAGGATAATTATAAATACTGCATCATGATTTTAATGCAAAATAGAGTATACTAGTACAGAGGAGTTCCATGAAATAAACAGAACTGAAGTTTGTACAGTGTAAACCTGTCTAATCTAAACGTGACCGTAACTGGCAAAAAGTGTTCAAATTGGCAGGTGTTTTGAGTTTTTTTTTAACATGGAATGCCATTGCATATTACATGTTTTCTATGACATATTTCCTGTGGTACCGATTCACTACTCAGATAATCTAATGCAATGAAAGAACATTTTGGTGCTATATAATATGAGTACTCATAAAAAACTGAGCTTTGTGTCATACCATTTATATTTGGTACAAATTTCTTCATGAGTATGAAAGGCAACATTTGATAAGTATTGATAATAGAGCAGGCCTAAAATATCAGATCCGCTATTTGTATAATCCCATTATTGTAAGCTGTGTGTTGTTACATGTTCAACAAAAAAAGATAATTTTCTTTAAATAGAAGACACAAGCACAGTATGTACTATTTATACCTACCTTAAAATTATGAAATCAAAATATTACATAAGTTCCAATATGGAGCTAAATTAACATAGGAAAATAGTTTTATTTTATCTACTGACCTTAATTATCAAATGAAATGATAAACTAATAATATTGTTGAATAAAAGTAAAAAATTATTAAATGAAAATAAAACATGAAAATTTTCAACTTGTATGTATGTGCCTACCTTCGTGAGCAGTAGAAGTTACGTCGTTACGTCGTGTGTGTAGTGGCCAGTCGTCTTGTAACACTGACTTTTGTAATGACTTTATCAGCAGTTGGCTATCTATCTAATATCACAGATACCAGTAAATTGATTGTTGCATAGTACACTAGCAGATCATTTAGCAGCAGTTTACTCAGCAGTTTATTTAGCAGCAGTTTATTCAGCAGTTTATTTAGCAGCAGTTGATTCAACAGTTGATGTTTGGTGGTTGGGAAATCAACACCTGCAAATATAAAATAAAACCAATGTTAAATAAATAAATGATAAAATTTATTGATCTTTAAAAAAACAAAAGCCAGATTTTTTAGCACATGTGGGTGAACTAATAACGTGGGATTCATTAGCATGCTCTCCAAACATTAGCATGTTTTACATGCTCAATCTTAAGCATGCAGACTTCATAATATTTTAGATAAGTAATATTTACTTGTTGACATGTAGATTAGTGTTGTCGCGATGTGCCATAATCGTACATCGATGCATCGGCAATTTTCAGTAGTAAACATTGATGCACATTGCGATGTACATCGAGAAAAAGGTCGAGAAAAGTGCACTGAAATACCGAACGCTAATGCACTAAAATATCGAACAGAACAAATTAATAAGAGTACGCTGGTACATCCGGGAACATAGTAACGGTGAAATGAAAGTAAAGTAATTTTTTTAGATTAATGGTTCATTTCGACTCGCTAAAACAGTTTTAAAGCGAAAGAATATCAGAAAACATTTGAAAATGAAATAAGACATGAAAAAAGGTAAGCAATTTGCGTCAGAATAAGATAGGAAAGGGCGATTTTTAGCAAATCAAAATTTTTATAAAAAACATCTATGTTTTGTTTCAGACATCGATGCATCGCCAGAACCAGGTTTTGCGATGTATATCGCGATGTATCGATTAATCGCGACAACACTTATGTAGATACCTGCATGTTTGTTCTTATAATTATGTTTTGACGACAAATAACTGCATCAGTCAACAAATCACATGTACAAGTATAGCATTTACTTTTATGTGTCATCATTTCACTAATGTTATGTTGTACATTTATATGAATAAATGAAATAAACTGATATTAAAAATATGAAAAGATAACAAAAAAAGTGTAGTGTAAATGGTCTAATGCCATGTAAATGCTCAGCACCTAGTATTAGATTCAATACAAACATAGTACAATTTCTAACTATTTTCTGACAAATTTAATTAACACGGGACATTGTAAACCATACAATGCAATTTGTTTCACAAGGCTCATAAAAGCTTTCAAGAATAAAAACAAAATAAATCTAATCTATTCTAACAGCGAACGCCTATACCATTTAGAATCTCTAGAGGATGATTATACTTTATGAGTTTGTTAATTTATTGCAAAGCCATTGTCTGGTCATATTAGTGGAAGCTTCTGTGTTCTGCGTTATCCTCATCATTGGTGCAATGAAATAAGTTATTAAGACTATCATCCAGTCATATTTGAATACACTACATTTTTGAATACAATGAATTGACTGGTCATATTATCCTCTGTCTATTTTAAATGATTTTATACCTTTGTTGCTGATACGATCTAAATTATGTTACCAAGTTGCAAAGGTAATGGACTAAACAGTGTAACAAAACAGAGCAAGGAAATGAAACACCTATTAGTACAACCAGTCAAAGGGAAAACAAACCCCAAATATCCCAAACTACATATTCTAAAATATAAAGAAACAATGTCAAATAACCCCCCCCCCACTATTTTAGAACCATTATCATAATTCAATAACACAACAGCGTAGGACATTGCATCAAACGGTCAACATCAATCCACAAAGCCATCAAAATAATCCATAAAATATTCTAAATATTTGATCATTAATTAGATAGAGTGATACAATGACTGATTGTCGAATGAGAAGACAACCTTGGGGAGTGAAATTATAAGTTAAAAAGTCTGTGGTACAATGGGATCATCTCTTGTTTGGTTAGTGTCATAAATCAATTCATTCAATATAAATTATTGCAATTGCAGAAAAGCAGTGATCACAGGATCAGAAAAGGTAATGTGTTTATTTCAAGCGAGACACATATTGGATGCTATTAACTCATCACACTTTATATCTGAATTGAATAAATGAATTGAATTCAACACAATGCCATTAAATAAAGTTGTTATTTTAGCTGGTATGTGGTAGGAGTCAACCAGTATATGTGTTTCACAATATTTTATACAATTGAAATTGCATACATAAAAGATGTATTGTTCATATTATTTTAATAAAACTACTCAGGGTATTCATGACGAACAATAATCAAATGAAAACAATGTGCAGTCATAGACGTAGCACCTACTAAAAGGATTGGTATCGATATGGAGAACTAATCAACATGTTTTTCTCTTAAACCAATTATTGAAAACATTCTGTAAAAAAACACGGTCCTTTATGTAATGTTGACTGATTGACAACAATTTAATGCGAAAATAATTTACATATATTTATATAACTGTTTTTGTTAATATTTTTTGTTTTTAGAGCAATTGTTTTTTGTTAATTTTTACCATTTCTTGAGAATGAAATAAAATATAAAATATTGTAAATTAAGAATGGTATAGCAAAGTATGCAATAGTAATATTTGAGTTTAATTGTTACCATAACGATGATATATTTATCTTAAGGTTATTATTAGGTCATTCGTTTTTTCGTATCTATGTTCTTTGTTGTTGTTATTTTTTAGGTTACTAGGTCATTTGTTACATAATTAAATTTTCCATTGTCTGTTTATGACGTCACATAAATGTATACATGCTGTTATATTTTGAAAAAGACTAAGGGATATTAGTCGAAAGTCTCAATAAATTAAAAATATTCTCTGAAGTAAAGAATTTGACTTGTTTCTGAAATAAAATATCTTTCGAAGCTTGTCTGAACAAAATAGCATAAACATCATTTTATTAGGCCTGAGAATTTATGGTTAACCCAGTTTCAGTAGAATGAGGCTGCATTTAAAAGAAAAATCATACATTGCAATTCCTAATATGCCATCTTTCAGCAAATAAAATGTCTAAAACAATCATTCCATATAATGCTAACATATAGACCTTTGCTTTTCATAAAATATACTAGTAAATTGAATTTAGGCCAACTTCAGGTGGTTTCAACAGGTTGACAACCCCCCCCCCCCCCCCCCCTTTCCCCCTCCCATTGAATCGTGCCTTATATGCCTCAGTATTACATTTAAGAAAGAATCGCTTTAAAGCATTAAAAATTGCCAGTAAATTTTTTTTCTTCACACTTAAACTTTTCCTTAGAGAACTTGAATATACCTCAAATTGACTAATTCAACCTTTGCTGCTAGTGATAAAGCCCCCCCCCCCACCGGTAAAGTGAAATTTTTAGAAGAGAGATAAATGCAGTATTTAGTTACAGATATCAACATCCGAACACCTTAGTAAGGATATCTTCATATATTCCCATATATCAACATCAGTTTATAGGATAATTTTACTTCATCTTAACCTGTGTGAAGTCCAATAATGCTAGGAATAAAAGTTATTAAAAATGACGCCAGAGTCACTGTCAGCACCATCTATCTAATGTTTAATATAATAGAATGAAGTCCGGTTACTTGGAAATAAAGAAAATTCTAAATTGTTTTTTTTCTCATGCCAGGGGCTTTGCTCAGTGATATTTTATGTTTATTCAACTTTCATGTTTTTGTAACTTGTCAGAATATCTTCAGATTTCTTGACGATCTATAAATAGATATGAGGTCATGTCCATGAGCAGAGTTTTGGCCCAAAAAAGAAAGAAATTTGTGCTTCAAGCTCAATATCTGTGATTTGCAAGCGATTCTGACCATGTTTTAAGTATCAAAATAATGCTCAGAGTGTTGAGACTCAAATGAAGTTAAAAAATAAGGTAAATATACACCAACTCAGTGATTATGACCAAACAAAAACGGGTGTCCAAACCAAAAGTCAAAGAGTAACCACACTTTCAGTCTAATATGTGAATATCTAAAGATTGATAGTGCTCACTGTGGCCAGAGTATCATAATCTAGAGTATGATACTCTGGCTCCATTTTCAATAACTTTTAGTCCTAGCGTTATTGAAATTAAAATAGAAGCGTAGATTATCCGCAAATAATATACTCATTGCATGGAGTAGTTAATTCTCTTTGGTAACGAAACATATATGAGTTTAAATATAATTTGTGACGTTTACTTAGTGTTTTATGAAAAATAGCATGCTCCATCAAGCTGGACAGAGAGTTTCCTATCTAATCTTTCCAAGTCAGATATGAGAATCAATATCGAAGACAACTCTATCCTCTTACAATGCTGTGGTCGAGAGCCCAGTCAACGCAATACCCGGGACCATGGACGCAATATAAGATCAATATATCAGTAAACATTACTTTTATTGAAATGTTAGAATACTCTTGAAAACAATCTTTAAGATTTTATCAAGAATCAACAAAGCAGTCTCTTCTTACAGCTTACTACTTTTCTCTTGGCCTACAGTATGCAACAAAGTTCACTCTATATTAAGGTTCAGCTGGAAAGTAACATTTTGGTAAAAAATTGCTATACCTGCACATGTTATTTTCTGGTACAAAATTAAGTATGAAGGCATGTGTTTATTTCCTTGCTTTTTTCAGGAAAGTATCATTACACTGTCTACTTTTAGTAAACCTGGAAACAGGTCAATGGTAGCTCCTGTGCTGTCTGAAAACTTTGAAAGAAAATTTGCTAGGGGGAGAATCCTCGCTTAGCACGCTGGAGGCCCGGGTTCGAATCCCGTACTCGCTCTTTTGTTTTTTTCGAGGTCGTTATCTTCATCGTCTAGTTTACGAATACCAAATGTCGATGTGATGTTTTAATTGATAAATACGAATTCCTTACACATTTCGTTATCTTATTGTGAAATAGCAAACTAAGAGATATCTTTACTCGCTAGGAATTAACATAATATTATTTGAAGCGATTTTAGAAAATTTTGAAACCGCCATCTTGGTAATATTGATGACGTGATCACCATCGGTCAAGGTCAGGTCAAAAGTCATCCATCTTGCCATTTGCCCGGCGTTTTCTTACCAGTCGACAAAAAACGATGAAATCACGTTGAAAATAAAATATACACTTTAAAATTGAGGCTGATCGAATATGACAAGACTCCACATGCTATCTATTGCAAGACTAACGCCTAGTGTAACCGTCACCATGTTATTCGGTGTTTTTTAAGTAGCGCAAGGATCCTGCCATGACCGTGGCAGTGTTATTTTGTAAGCCTGGTATAACCGTGACAACGCTGTATTATATTGCAAGGCCTGTCATGACCGTGGTAATGTTAAAGCCTAATATGACCGTGACAATGGTTGCAAGGCCTGTCATGACCGTGGTAATTGTTAAAGCCCAGTATGACCATGACAATGCTTGTAAAGCCTGCCATGACCGTGACAATGCTAGGTTATATTGCCGTATATATTATATGACCGTCATAATGATTGAAAGGCATGTCATGACCGTCAGAATGTTAAGGCCTGTCATGACCGTGGTAAGGTTAAAGCCTGATATGACCGAGACAATGCTATATTATATTGCAAGGCCTGTCATGACCGTGGTAATGTTAAAGCCCCGTATGACCGTGACAATAGTTGCAAGGCCTCTCATGACCGTGGTTGTATTTAAAGTAGCATGAGAACACTGTAATGACAATTTTTCTTCGTGTTTAACTACCTTAAATATGTAAATAAAGACTACTAAAAATGTGTATTAATTTCACAACGAAAACCTAATTTTTACTCATAAATAATTTGCGAACAAACTATATCTCTACTCTCATTCAAGGAGCTTCGATTCAAAAGCATATACTTTCTTAAATGATCAATTAATAAGATTTATCCATAAAAAATACCAACAGCAACGGGCGAAACATGTAGGTCATTAATGTCATATAAAGGTTGCTGTCGCGCCAGGCTTACACGATTACACTACCACGGTCATGGCAGGCATTTTTAATATAATACAGCATTGTCGCGGTTATACCAGGCTTTCACGATAACATTACCACGGTCATGGCAGGATCCTTGCGCTACTTAAAAAACACCGAATAACATGGTGACGGTTACGCCAGGCGTTAGTCTTGCAACAGATAGGGTCTCCAAGACTCCATTGAATATAGTCCAACAACATTAGACCTAGCCTGGGCCTCGTTTCTTATCTGACATGTGTTATGGCCCGGCTAGGTCTAACCTCCATGACCATTTTGCCCTTGATGTGTTAATTTAGTCGTTCAGCAGGTTCCGACATGCGGAACTAATTAAACTCCGAAAACATGGTAATATTACATAAAGAATGAGATTCAAGCATGTATACATACCTTATAAATACATACACACCATCCCGTACCCCCCTTAGACTATATTGATGCATAATTACGAAAATATTGGAGACAGGTTTGGAATTTTACGAAAATATCGGTCAGCTCCGGTAACATCGAAATTGCAAATCGTATCAGGAATTAACCGTCATTGCGACACTGCATCAACGAACAGTAGGTTTGCAATTAATAACTATTTTGTGTGTATACAAGCGCTATATAAATCAATCAAAGATACCTGCTATCCTCAAAAATGGTTATTTTATCCCGAGTAATCGCGTGATAATTATCAATCAATTTGACAACAATTTCGTTTCAATAGTTTAAATTTTAACCCGGGACGAACAGACACAATGGCGGACATGCGGAAATGTCATTTTAGAGATTGGTAAGTTTAACCTCATTTTACTTGTATAAATGACCATTTAATACAATAATATTGTGTTTAATCGCTTGATGTTATGTGTTTTTATATTGTTGTCAAGTATCGGTTGCATGTTATCGCGGAAAAATGGTTTCGGTGGATCCAAAACTTGCATCAATGGAAAGAATAGTAAGGAGGTTAAACTCAATAATGGCCCCAAGAAAATTCTTAATAATAAATAACGCCGTTATTGAGTTTAACGACGTTGAACTACATTGAATACAGCTGTGCAATTTACAGTCACCAAGATGAGCTAATTTCGGAGAGATTCGGGAATTGAAAAAGGTAAGCCCTTCCGGTTTCCCAACTTCAAAGTGTTTGAAATCCCAGAATTTTCGCCAGAAACATTCTCTCTGACTGTGCCAAAATGTTACTTTCCAGCTGTTCCTTAAAAAGTTTGAAACTTTCAGAAGTTTTGGAGTTTATATTCACATGCAATTGTGTCTCGAACAAGTGAGCTAGCTACACACTTACCTTCGTGATCGTAAAACTTCCGCAGAAATAACTTGACGCTTTGCCCAGGTAACAGTACTTCATAGATGACGGAATTCTAAGAAACCCAGATCTTTTATTTGTTTTGCGAAAGAAGGAAGTGTAAGTTCATCATTGCGCATGCGTGATTGATTTGTAAATAATTCTGCTTTCTAAGCTTATCCTTATCTCCAGATATAAAACTGCACCATGTCAAAAGAACAAACAAAGTGTAAATTACATAGTACATAAGTGACAGCAGCCATAAATGCCATAAGACTAATTCTCCTCTAGACTAATTGACAATGCAAATGACATTTAGGATGTCACTGTGACATTTTGGAGTCAATCAAAATAGGTCGATCAAAATATTATTTTGACACTTTGACTTATCATATGTTGATCGTATATGTTGTTGACGATACTTTATTGAAATTAACAAGTAAATAATAGCGTTATGTTCCTATGTATGTATCCCGAGTTCCTAGAAACCAAACAAGATATATCTAATTTCACTTCCTCTTTTACAGATTGACAGGTCTAAGGTCAATGATAATAGAATACCGTATGCTCCTGACATCCCATTTAACAACACGAAAGCAAGATATGGAGTCAAAATCGAATCCCTCTCCGAGTTTGGAGGAAAAACTAGCCAAGGAAATCAAAGATATCAAAGACAAGGCCACGAAGGATGGTTTAACAAAGAGAGAAATAAGGGAGCTGTTTTTGAACTATGTAAAGTCCCAAGAAGCCCCAAAATCAAGGTGCAATTTTGGACTTCCTATGAAAATACTTTTGGTGAGTCTCCTTCCCATTATTTTGGCTATTGCAACGATGGTGCTCAATGCTGAGTTTGATATGACTAAATTAAAAGAGGACTTCATAGGATCTAAGTGCCTAGTGGACAATAACGCAATACTGATGGAGGCAGCGAGGCCATTGGTTGAGTGTGATGTGTGCAAAAATCTCAAACAAGTTCCAATCGTATATGACTTGGATGAAAAAACATTTGTCGAAAAATATGCATATTCTAATGTACCTGCTTTAGTGAAAGGTGCGACAAAGAATTGGACAGCGATGGACACATTTAGCTTTAAATTCTTAAAGGACATTTATACGAAAACTCCTGATGCGTTGCAAAGTGTTGAAGAGGAATGCCAATTTTTCCCTTATAAGACAGAGTTTCATACTTTGGAGGAGGTTTTTGAAATGCCAGAAGCACGGGCTAACTTTGAAGAAGGCCAAAAGAACTGGTATATTGGATGGTAAGTAACAACAAGAGTAAGAGACACAACAGTGATATAGGAAATAGTACAAGTTCTCTTTACCATTTTCTTTAAAATTTCAAATAACATGAGGTTTGGGCAAATTAGGTTCAATTCTTATGCCAGGCATAAGAGTAGATCTGTTCTTATGCCTGGCATAAGAATTGAACCTAATTTGCCCAAACCTCATGTTTGCTGAAGTCCGAGTATTTGTAGGATTCCGAGTTCAAATGTTGGGGTGTTAGTAGAGAATTTAGGAACTGCACTGGTTAAGAACTTTAAGTGGGCCCCTATTTTGAAAGATAAAACCCCAAGGGCCATATTGATGGATTGGTGGTTGAGCCTTTTATCTTCTTATGTTCTCACAGATCCCCAATGGGAGGTGTTCTAAACTCTACCTGTTTCCTAATAAAATTCTGAAGAACTTTATAATATTTTCAGAATTGCAGGAATTTGGGGATAATATTGACGTCTATTTTGGAAATTCAAACCTATATTTGAGGATTGAGATTTGAGACCCATTATTGCAAAAAGGATGCATTTTAAAAAGATTATTTTTCTATTTTTGAAAAGAAGGCCTACCTGAAGTTAAAGGGGAGGGTTTTGGCGACTTATATTTTTCCTTCAAGATCTACCAGTGATGAGGGAAGGTTACATATAATTTAAAACTCACAACTAACAATATGTATCTCATACTTAAGTGGGTTTGGTGTAGATATCACTCGGGAATATATATCATATCTGAGGAGCGGGCAGGATATATTGTATATGTCCCGCTCCAGGCCAAATGCGGGCAGATATAATATATCCATCCTGCTCCCCCGGGAATTTTTCAAAAGTGTAAAAAGTTAAAAAAAAGTATGAGATACACCAGTTATGCACGGTCGGTTTGGATACATGGAATATTCCTTGGGATATACAATACATCTTCCCTCGGTCCCTTCGGTCCCTCGGGAAGATATATTGTATATCCCTCGGGATATTCCCTGTTTCCAAAACCTCCCAGTGCATAACCCCTATATATATCTTAACTTTCATTCCAGATGTAACACATAAAACTGCTATTTATTTGGCCACATCTACTTTTTTCCACTTGTTATATATTATTCTTTAACATGTACAATTTAATTGACATTCAATACAATTGTATGGTTGGAGATTGTCCAAACATCCTTTACAAATTAGTATAAGACATATACATATGTAAGGTATTTCTATTAAACATGCAAAAATTCAAGGAAGCGAGGTAATGTAAGCTTTTTGAGGAAAATGATATATACCGTATATACATTTTTTTGTTAAAGACTTCCTGGTTTGTTTTGTGCTGTTTAAGTTAAATACATTTTTAGGTCATTGGCAAATATACATCTTTTATTGACTCTTTGTAGATGTCACATGTGTCATGGCATGACATATTGGTCATTTCAAAAATAACTCAAACTACGCTTCACGACACTATCATAATACAATACAAAATACACATGTTATTTACATGTATTACATACCTAGCGAAGCATTTGTATGGAAGTCAATGGGAAAGTTAGCGAGCTATATCCACCGATATTGCCCGATTACCCCGATATAGCCCGCTTACCTCGTTTTGATATTAGATTTCTTTAATAACCATGATAATATCATGACGTCACGTCATTGATACAAAGTAACCATGGGAACAAAGGCATGTAATACATCAGTTATGTCACTATGACGTGAAATATGCCTTCGTTCTTGCCCAAATATAGAGCCTCCCAAGGTCGGCCTATATTGGGAGAACTCAGGCATATTTCACGTCATAGTGACATAACCTCTAAATATTACATAATATTAAAAGCAATGATTGTATTAAATGAAAAGGAAATATAACACATTTGTTTTATAGTAGGAATTCATTATTATTTACACTAGTCATTCTATGGCTTTGTCATCTAAAGTTTAAAGATACCATGATATTCAATCTACACACAAACATGGAGTACATGATAAACTGCATGTTCGGTAAGTTTGCAATCCTAGTTTCAGTATTTCATTTACTGTCTAATTTTCAGTGGCCTTGAGTCTACTGGAAGTTTTTATTGAATTATATTGTAATTTCTTGTAACTAAAAGTTTAACATAGGGAGGTCAGGTTGTCTTGTATTCCCCTTGTTTGTTGGTTACTCTACTCTGTTATGGAAGGGGATACAGCATAAAACTAATGATCCTGATTTACAAGGTTTCTGTAGTTTCAACTTTACATACATTCTGATTACAAAATTAGTCTTATTTAACACAAAGTTTCTGTTCAGACACTTCAAAAATACTTTTTTGGAATACTACCTGCTTTATGATAGCACACATCCTAAAACTCTTAATTATGGCGCATAGACGTATAATATCCTCTTCGGCTTAAATTTTACTTTTCCTGTTTAAATTTGCAGAGACCCTGACTGGGCCCCTAAAGGAACTTTGAAAATACTGTTTCATTAAAAATCTCTCCACTTACTGGTGGATCTAGGGACATGCCCCCCCCCCTTGGGTGGGAGCAGAAATTTTTTTGAGTTGTAAGGCTTCAATTAGTAGACCATTTTGGCATAACTTGGTCTTTTTGGGCCTTTTTGGGCCAGATTGTCAAATAAAATTCTGATTTGATATGTGCCCCCATCTTGTTATCTCTGGATCCGCCAGTGAAGACCATACATTGTCAATTTAAAACACACACATAGAAACAAATTTTTAAATAATAGTTTGTTTGTTTTTTTGTTGATAGGAGTAATTGCAATGGAGATGTGGCTGAGATTCTTCGTAAACACTACCAGAGACCACACTTCTTGCCAAAAGATTCAGAGTCCAGTAGTTTAGATTGGTTATTCATGGGTGGCTCTGGCCCTGGAGCATTTGTACATGTAAGTTTTGGATATTGCGTTTATCTCCCTATACACACGTATATTGCAATCTGTAAAAGAATTTGAATAACATCATTTGATGCATCTTGTGGATAACTTTTTTATGTGTTTAAGTTTAACATCATTCTGATTCTCATCACACATCCAAATGACACAAATGAAGAGATTACAATTGTAATCATGGCAGCATACTGCTAAATTAAGAAATATGTGATGAAAACAAAACATCATCACTGTTGCATTTGTGCTATATTGGTTAATGAAAACACTGAATTAAATCCTATTACAAATAAAATGTTGAAACAGCTAGATAAATGTTTTATATTGATGGCTGTTGAAATGCTGGCTAGTAATATAAAGGCTTTAATACTATTTATATTCATTCGTTATTATGATCTTTGTAGTTGACATTTGAGGAACAATGATCTCAAATTATGATTGTTTTCATTTGTGATGTACCTATTATAATATATACCTTATGCTTATTGAAATACTGTAGCTATTAAAATTGATAGCTTTTTGTCAGTTCATGTGCAGTTATCGTAAATCCACTTGATCATTTATGAACATGTTTTCCTATATTCTTAGATTTTGTATCAGCTGAAAAACAGTTATTTTTCATTATTTAGAAGCACAGAAAGTAAGTCATCTCCTCCCCCTGTCTCTCGCTCTCTCTATTAGTACCCTATATAAATAATGAAATCTGTATATCGGAACACCTCTCTAATCCGAACATCTCTCAATGTGGACTTTTTCTTGGTCCAAAATTTGGTATCTCCCATTGACTTACCAGTACATAAAACCTTTAAATGTGAACACCTGCTAATCCAAACACTTTTGCCTGGTCCAAGTAGAGTTTATATTAGATAAGTTTTACTTTATATAGGGTATAATCACCGTGGAATAGCCTGACAACAGTAATGTCAGATACCTTTGTCACAAATGACGGACATAACCGTCGCTTCAATTACATTTTCATGAACTGTATGTTTAATAGATACTGTACTCCGGGTATTGTTCGCGTGCGATTTAATTTCGCTTTGTTCGCGAATGTAGTAAAATCGCGAAAATTTATCATCGCGAAATTTGTGTTTTAAATCCCCGGAGATTTGACCCGGGACTGTCGATATGTTTCGTTCGGTGTAAAACGTTTCGTCCAGTTGTTGGGCGATAATTCAAAAAAGGCCTAAAATGTCTAACACTTTGAATTGGCTTATTAGGCCAACAAGGGCAAGAACTGTTGACGACAATGATATCCTGCAACTTTAAGTTGAAAAAGCTATTCAAATAAATGCCCTAAACGTGGGAAATACAAACATGATACTTTAATGTCATCAACTCAAATCCGCGAAATTGCAATTTTGAAAAATCGCGAAATTTTATAGCGTCGAAATTTACCCGGAGTACAGTAGACTAAATTCCTTTGGAACAACAATCAATCAAAGTGTCTTAATACTCTTTGTACAGTTAATAATGTTCTACCATCGAAATAAAGTCTTTAACTTAACAGACACTGTAATTACCATATGCCATTGTTTTTCTAAATTACTCAAATTCAGATTCCGTTGTCATTGACGATATCGAAGGCGCTATATTGTGGTGATTCACAACCCAATTTGGTCGAAAAATTGGGATTTCATATGAAACATCATCACAAGAGCTTAATAGAAGCACAGAATTAGTGACAATAAAATCCCATGAAATGAGGACCAAGTGATGAAACAGTTGAAGCGACGGTTATGTCTGCCATTTGTGACAACGGTATCTGACTTTACCGTTGTCAGGCTATTCCGGTGTGATAATAGAGAGGTTAGAAGTTTTAAAATAACCAATCAAAGGTGTTCTGAGGAAGGAGCACTTGGACTTAATTGGTGATAAATCCCTGATGTACATTCTGTTTATAGTTAGACTATGTTCAGAGACCCTCATGGCAAGCACAGATCAAAGGGAGGAAATCCTGGACTCTTGTTCCTGTGCCTGAATGTGAACATGTCTGCGTCCCCATGAACATCACTGTTGAGAAAGGCGATATCAGTAAGTATTGGATATTGTTGTATTATAAAAGCTTCTTTTTTATGCCTTATCTGATCTACGATTCATTTTGAAGTAAATAAGATCAAGAAATTATAAACGCTTCTTAAGGATCTCAGATGCTCCTTTCAAAGTTGTAACATGCTATTTCATATCAATTTGAATTAAACCTCAAATTGATCTGAAAATCGAAATTGTAGTAAAAATCCATTAAAACATGCTGCATCCTATACTAACTTTTTGTTCTAATTCATTCTATTTCAGTTTTAATCGATACGAACCAATGGTACCATTCTACGTTTGTTCATCCAGGAGAGATCAGCATTACAATTGGATCAGAGTATGACTAAAATATGGACTTAACACTCCACCAATTAGATAGAACTCAACCTTAACATAGCCATATTTGGCTCATTCATGTTGCCTTTTGGCGGCAATTACCACACTTTACTCAACCTGATCTGGGTTTTATCATATATTTTCGTAATATGTAAATAGCAGAATGAGAGAAACTAAACTGTATCTTCTATACTAGAGAAACGATCTAGCCACTAGGATTGTCAGTGAAAATAACATTATTATAAGTCAGTGGTGTACTGTGGGTATTTTGTGAGTGTACGCCACAATTTGCGAAGCGAACGAGCTTTGAGGGGGGTTTGGGAGGGGTTCTCCCTAAAAAAATTGTGAAATGAGATTGCAATTGAGCATTCTTCGGCATTTAAAAATAGGAAATTCCGACTAATATGGACCAATAAAATGTAAATTATTGGCCATTTTTTCAGAATATCCAGTATTTTTAAAGTGTGGGTCAATTCAATATAAAAATCAACTACGCTATGGCGTATTGTGCGTATATGACGCTACGCCATTGTAAATATATGTAGCTGCATTGGCTTTAATAATGAATTCAACAGACATTCTCAAACAATATGTGATGATTCATACATATTTTGCAGTATCATAGTCATATACCAATGCTATATTTTTCATAAAAATTTATCTCAGTTTGAAGTCATGACAATATCCACGATTCAAAATGATGATTACTTAGTTCATAGTATTATGGATCATTATTAAAGATTCTGATATTCAGAATATGTGTTACTGTTAGTCAACTTAATTTGGCGACTGATTTGATTTATGTTCAGAATGGTGTATTGTGGTTCAAATGTTCATGATTTGTTCTGATTTATCCAATAAATTGGGCCATTTGGTCGCAATAAGATAACATCCAGTTAATAAGTATAGCTTGCTTATTCATTCTGATAAATTTTGAAGGTATTTAAGCATTACTTTGGGTCTAAATGATTAATTCTTTTGTGCTAACTCTTTTATCGCCCATCTAAATAAAACAATTTAGCGACATTGGCTTCCTTTTTCAATTTTTTATCCACCTGGCTTATGTTTCTTTCGAATGACGATGGTTTAAACTGTTTCAAATGTGAAATTCACCCATTTCATAGCCATTTATTGTTGCTAATTTTGCCAAACTAAATCTCCGCCAATTTTCCAATTTTGCCCAATTCGCCAAATTAAGTTGACTTACAGTATATAAGGACTTGTGAGTACCAGTGGGGAAGTTTTATATAATGATTGTGTCTCTTTGTATGGAGAAGAAAAGGTTATATATTAAGATAGGGTCTTGTTTAAGATTACTTGATGATCTATTTATTTAGTCATGTCATCCCACAGTTCCAGAAGTTTCACTTACAAAGTACGATATGTGAAATTGTAGTGAGTTAGGTTTGCATCCAGCAAGAATCTTTTGGACTTTTTCCTTTAGGCTATAATTGATTAGTTGTATACAAATGTTTCTAAGAGGATATTGCAACTTGTATTATATTGAAACATGATATTTTAAACTTACAGCTAATAATCATGATTTTGTGATTTTGGTCATGATACATTGCATGCTTTCTCAAAACATCTTAGGTAATCATATTTTGAAATTGATAAGACTTGTATAACTGCATTATGTCCATACAGTTGTGTAATGCTCTGCTATACTTATCTTATAAAGGTTATAACTTACATTGAAAGGTAGTGGTATATATAAGGTGAATACTTTAGGTATTCAGGTACCCTGTTGCATAAATAATGTGTAAAATACATACTATACTAGTATCTTTAATACTAAGTATATCTAGAAATGATATTATTATATATATTATATGAACCTACTGGTTCGTTTCCAGAACTGGTTTTCTATTTTTGTTGTTTTTACAAGAATTTGACATTCATATGTAAAGGTTATTTAATGGGATGGATGGAATATGAGTTTATTCTGAGGGAAAATATTATATTGGCCAACTAGAATATCATATTGACCAAGGGCGATACCCTGAGTGTAGATATAATATTTCCTGAGGCCAATATCATATTTTCTCTAGAAAAAAATTCATATTCCATCATGACCATCAATAATCTATTCATTCCATAATACTTATTCTTTTATTTTAAAGTTTTGTCTCTCATCCTTCATTGATGGTGACATAAAATGATACAATTTAATTTATCAGCTAACATTTTCAACTTTAATCAACAATTTTGCTCTAAATTGAAAGAAATCCCTGGAAATACTTCTGATACGGGATCTGATATGGGATTTTAGCTGATGCGGGATCTGGTACGAGATATTGCCTGATACAGGATTTTTTGAATATCAATTGTATTCCCTGTTTTTCCCAGGGAAAACATGTAATTATGGAATAATATATGATATCCTATTGTAAAGATATTCTTAGTTTATGATAAAATCATGAGGAAGAAGGTGGGGAGAGGGGAGGTTTAACAAGGTGTGTAATGCTACCATTATTCATGTTGCGCAAAAATGCTTGGGTAGATGAATTATTTTCCATGATATCTTGTATCTAATCAGAGACATTCAGTCATGCTTTTAAAGTGTCTCTGGTCTTATTATTATGCAATATTTCTTAAATGTTTAATATGAATGAGATTAATTCCTATTCAGATAACACAGTTGTGTGTTTTATTTTTTTCACATTTAAGTGATTAATGTTTGGTAGAACTTTTAGTCTATATATCACCATTAACATGAATTATGCAAAAATATTGTTTAATATAGTACATCAACTTAAATGAGTATTTTCTATTTTGTATATATTTTCTTGCCTGATATTGTCACATTGTTATTATTATTGTAAAAAAGCTTTTTTCAGCGGATAATGTAAAATGAAACAGGTTTAGTAGTATAGTTATTACATATTATAGGACGACTTAAGATGGCAGAAAAAACTCATGGGGTGAGGTTACCAATATTAATTATAAATAGCAGTGTTCTCCACAAGATTTTTTTCTCAAGTGGGTGCAAAATTCTCATTTTCATAATTCAGACCAAAATTGGTCAAAATATGACCATTTTCACGATTTTTCTCATTTTCAAGTGGGTGCAAATGGATTTTCAGGTGGGTGCAAGCCTGTTTTTAAAATCTCAGGTGGGTGCTGCGCCCACTTGCTTTAATGCTAGGGAGATCACTGAATAATATTTGAAAACCTCAATGATAGACTTTAAATTAATACTTACATCAAAGAATGCTTAACATTGAATCATATCAGATAGAACTTTGAGAAAAACAGATAGAAAGTACATTTCAAATAATATAAATGGAAGATCTTCAATTCAACAAGAAGTGTTAAATAACCCACTAGTGAGCAACTACTGCCATCTTTAGGAGTCAACAAGGTCATTGGGCTATTAATGAGTTCTGGCATTGTATTCCAGACTTGTGTACATGTACTGCAAGTACATGAACTTATATTTTTCTAATGTATATTTTCTGATGTAATGATAAGACAATAAACACATCATTATTCAAGAATAAAGATTTTGTTTATTTAAAAAAAACATTTTCCAAATCCTTCAGCTATCAGCATAGACAAAAAGACATAAAAGAATACAGTTCAGTTCATATTCCAATCTTTAAGTAAGGTAATAGTACAAGCCATACGAGAAACAGCTCCAAAGACCTAACATAGGGTTATCAAAGATCAAAACAGTAATTCTATAACATAAGTTAATTTTACTTGGATGACAAAGTTGCTTCTGGATCATTGCATGCATTTTACATGTCAGAAATGATCTTTTTGACTGCACAAAATTCTTAAATAGCAAATTATTCTTCAGACAAAATGCTGCCAATGTACATACATATCAGAAAATATGAAGCTCAGATTTGCATTGCATGCTTATTCACCTAGACATGATTTAGAATAATTTTATAGAATAGGCTAAATCAGATTCTTATTCACATATTGGGATCTTGCAAGAATTCCTTTATTTTACTTCATGTATTTTGAACTGCAAACAAACCTGGAATTCTTCATGCATCACAGACTTTATTTCAATTTTCTGAAGTTTTATACTGAATAAACTTCATATATACTCAGTTCTGCAAATAGGATGCTTGTATACATGTTTATTGCATCCATTAGTCATGCATGAAACCCTAGTGTACCCCTACTAATATAAAAGCCTTCCGCACATAAGAACATATGCAGGTAGGGATAAAGAATATGGGGAACAGAGGCTTGATGCAAGACTATGTTCATATAACAGCACTCCTTTGAGCTAAAAAAACATAAATAGAAAACAATTTGAAGTTTTGGTGATGCCGGTTTTCTTGCCAATTTTATTCTTTATTTTATATTTCAAAACATAACCCCTGTGAAACTGACCTTAAAGAAGACTAGACAATCGTAATAGGAGGTTTTGTGACTATTCAGTCTACTCAGCCAAATTAAATTTTGATAAACACATTTAAGACGTGTAAAAATCTTCTGTCCATTTAGCATAATGCCAAGTTAGCTCTAACATCTTATTTGCAAATTCCATTTCAAACACAAAGCACAATACCATAGACCCCATATCTCCATTTGTTTCGACCAATGGGCTATATAATAAAGATTGCCTTAACACTGTGTTCACAATACTTTATTTTCACATATTTTGTGATATATGGCAATACTTCTCGACTTGTGTTAAATAAATACTAAATAAAAAAATTATTCCAGATTGTAATATTGGCGGTGTTTTTCATGTAAAATATAACTTCCTTAAAATTAATAAGCAAATATTTCATTCTATGGAGGGCAATACCTGTTCATCTTTCAATGATTTTTGCGGTATGTATTGCCCGCAGCCCGTAGGGCGAGGGAAATACATGATGCAAAAATCATTGAAAGTGCAACAGGTATTGCCCGAACATAGAATGAAATATTTGTTTTATTATATCATTGCTAGACTTTCCCTATGATCATTTATTTTAATCAATTAATATTTCATTAATCCATAAGTGAACATAATTACGTACAAGTATCATTGAATGGTACACTTTATTTTCGTCCAGTGTAGTTGTCAGAATTCCCGGGCGGGCAATACGCCGGGCAATACGTCTTTTATTATCCTAAAATTGAGGGAGCTGTGAAATACGTTATGGTATTTTTGATCACATGGTACTGACTCGACCAATCAAATCACACAATTTCTAGCAATGATATAATAATGCCAAATATTCTGCATTAACAGTTCCATTAGGAGTTTTAAATATTTGCTGTATTTGGTTGATCTTGGATTTGTAAGTGAAGCAGAGATCAGAAAAATTGCCATTTTCCTAAGATAGCGTCTTTAATAGCGTCCACATATTGAGCAGGGACATAGTAGATCCAGTATCTTGAAGCTTCTGTAGGACCTAGTTGAATGCCCTGTAAAGAAAAGTAACAGCTTTTTTGAATTTCATTTATTCAAATTACTATACGCATATTTTCATGCAACTGAATTTCTCAAACTGCACTTGTTTCAATCAGGTCAATCTAAATTGTCATAACAGCATAACTAACCAGTTATCAATGTCATAAAATTTTTCATTGCATGTTGAAATAATCTAGTGATTTACCATCAGGCTGGTACTTAACGAACTGATTTGGAGAAGAAATTGTGGAATTTACACTTCATCCTTCTTAATTTTTAAAACATGGCCACACAGATACATACACCTTGGATACATGTACTAGGTGATATACTTACCATTATATGATATTCTTCCTTTCCCTCCATCGGTTCACTGACTACTGCCTTTATAGATCCCATAGGGATTTTATCTGTTCTTTCTGAAATAGTCAAACATTTTAAATATACTTCATATGTGAGGGACATTTAAAGATATTCGAAGCGTAAAAATTTGCAAAAGCTATTTTTACAAACATTCACTCAGAAACATTTTTGGGAGGGGACTTAATCAAAAGGACATTAAAAAGATTCTCATATTTTTTATATAGGGAAATTTTTCAGTTCCTATCATTTTAATGTAGCTGTACACCATCATGCAATACCAAAGCCACAATTTTGAAATGAAACCAAAGGGATAAATTCTAACATTATACTGGACTTCAAGTTTCACTTAGATAAGGAACATGAGTGAATATTTCCTGTGAACTTCTAATGAGACAAAACTGTCTCACATACATGTACCTGATACCAGGCTTCATGCTTGATCTTAACTCTCTGGTCGATATCATATCTCATCACATAACAAAGCTTACTACAGAACACTAGCAATAAGGTAACAATGCGTTTTGAACACAGCTCTGCCTCCTTCACTAATATATATTTCATCAGTGTGTATAAGAGATAAGGGTGAGGGAAACAGAGAGGCTATATTCCAATCCCAAAATACTGTACCTTTTGTGCCTATCCAAAGTTGATCATTTTCAAGTTTAAAAGTAAGTCTGACTTTCCCTCCTGACTTGTTGATCATACCAGAGAGAGGGACATGGGGTAGAGGTTCTTTCTTGCCTTTGACACCAGGTATACAGTCATCAGGTTTTTCATATTTTTCTATAACTTTTTATGTAGCTGAAACAGATGTAAAAATTGTAATATCAATTTTAAACAATTTAATATGATTTGTTCATGAAGAGTGTGAGCCTAAAAACAGAACTAATCAAAAGTTATAGTTATATTTAGGCAATCAACTTTATTCCCAGGTGAAGAAACTATAATCTATGGATAATAATATTAAAATTGTGACATTAAATTCATCATTCATTTTATCATGAACAATCCAAAAAGTCTACTATTACAGTCATATGGGATACATATGGTCCATTACAGTATTAGCTATGTTCTTTAGGTGAATTTTATTTAAATACTTTCATTCAAAGATCATTTTGAAGAAAGTCTACAAGCAACTTTTGAGCCATCAACCTGTTAATTATGCCTCTTGGATAATATATACAACTTCCAAGTGTTTTGCAGAATCTTACTCTTCATTTTCAACAGCAATGCCAAAGCGTAGCAAATCCCATGAACAGCCATGGGTGCCATTTTTACAAAATCCTTCTACTAACTTTTCAGTTATAACAAGAATCGTAAAATAACACACTAAGTAGTAGCTTTTAAGTAGGCACATATAAAATTTCAACAAAATTGCATACACATAAATGTAAATGGCGGCCAATCCAATTGCATCATCAATCATTGTGTCAATAATTAAAATAATTTTATTTTTGTTAATCAAAACAGAGAATGAAATCCTGTGCTGGCTGATGAGAAAATGTCAGTCCACCACAGTGGGGATCGAACCCACGAGACAAGAGACCCCCAATTTAGAGATTTGGGCCCCAGCTTGTGTATTTAATATGATAACTCACTTTTTGTGATGATAGTGATTCTTTTGATGCAGCTGCCTCTGCTTTTTCCTCAGCTTTTAAAGCCTTTGGATCTGGTGCAGTGACAGAAAGTAGATCATTTACTGTGGAACCTACCACCATAAACTTAGCACCTGGAATGGAAAATGTTTATTTTCTTTATGGTGCCATTTGTCTCATTTCTCAATATGTATTGAATGAACTACTGTACTTCTACTTGATTTGGCGCTACTTGTTTTGGCAGATTTGCTTTTTTGAACATTTGGCGGCTACATAATTTGGCGGACTTGCGATATTACAATGTACTAATGGTACTAATTTACATGGTACTAAAATTTAGGGAAATTTGGCAGCTACTTAACTTGGCAGACTTTAACAATGCCAAATTAAAACGGCTGCCAAATTAAGTAGAAGTACAGTGTGACTTTCTGACATGTTAACAAATAACATTTATTTTAAATTAAATCTGATAGGCTTATGTTTACATACTGTTTATACATGTATATTACCAATCAATCAAGATATTTGACTGCAAAATCAATTGAAAATATTAATTTTAATTTGAGAGAATAATTAAAGATTGTGATACCTTTGGTTACTTTTAAATCTCGTAAAGTTAAGTGATCTTTTGCTAAACCTTTGTACATGACTTTTTGCATGGCTGCGGGAACACCTGAAATAGAATTTAGAAAAATTAGAGTGAAATACTGTGTTTATATGCAGATAAAATTTAATGCTTGACCACACACGTTTTACCATTCTCCAATAAGTGATTATTGACCTACATTACAAATTTATTCATAGTGATGAAATACTGTTTTAATTTTCTCACATTACTGTTACTTTTATTTCAAATCGTTAACTCTAGAGACAATGCTAATAGAAAGATCATTATAACCAACAAATGACACAAGTTACAGTGATACAATGTTAGCTTTCTCCATATTTTCAATCAGATGAGAGATAACAGATTTTTTAGTCTCAATTTAGTATTTTTATCTCAAGCCCTTGTGACTCAATGTACACTCTAGTGTAGGGACACAGCCTCAGATACTTAGTGCATTTAAGTTTCTGTTATATTGTAGTATCTCAGTGCATTGATATATTTAAGGATTTAAGCCCTGGGCTCAGTCCATTGTGGACTGATCATCACTCAAAAGTTTCGAACTTTGCATGAGATACGTAGCATCGAGTGCTAAGTTAAGAAAACAATGCCTGAGTGGAATGGAATCAGCCACAATGTCTTGGGCTTAAATTCTTTTCAGACATTGCAAAATGGTTTATAAATTATCAAGAAAGATATGAAATGACTTAAAGAATATGTCATCTATGAAACTTTTTGCAAGGGTCAAGTTGTCACCTTGACCATTGACCAGAGATGGAGTTAGTATAACATGCAATTCTTCAATATTGAAGCATTTTACATCCTTTTTGTGTGAATGCATTGATATAATTATATAGTTTTAACACATTCCTGCCATGCATACATACATGTTGGTAGTCATTTTTGTTGCTATTTTGTAAATTTGAATAAACTATGTACTAACAGGGCCAATAATGCTGAATTTCAGCCTCGGCCCTGTCATTTGTAAATCATATTGTAAAGTAAAATAAAGAAACCATAAAAACTAAACCTTGACCATTCAACCATTGACCTGCATAACCACTTGGCTTCTTATTACTTATGATCCTATTTATAGATTTTTGCTCAACTTAGAAACTGATCAGCTTTTAGTTTCATAAGAATCTAAAAATGACCTTGGTTGGGTTGTAATGTTGGTTATATAATGCAATACAGTTATACGAAATAGCATGTTCTGATTGACTGGAATTGGACACACCTTGCCTAGCTACGCGTGAATTGCAAGTACAAGTATATTGAACTCTGTAATAAAACATACCTATTTTTGTTTCTATACTTTTTTTCAGGTCTAATATAGTTGAGTCGAGATCGTATGTCACATCTTGTTTCTGTTTGTTATATACCACTTTAAAAGTAACCATTTCTTTAGGTTTGTCCCCTCCGCCTTCTTCCTCTTTTGAAGTTCCAGGTACAGCTGTAAAAATATCTAGTTAACGTTGTTCCATGCAATAGTAATCATGGGTACGAACCAGACTGTGAGCATTTGAGGATCCATGACACACATATTTGAATTCTGTGATTCTGCGTCGCGGCAGAAAAGTTGCAGAATTTTGGTTTTCTGAAATTTTTGCAGAATTTCTTTTGCACAAATTTTCTCATATGCAAAAACTAGTATGTGTGCCATGTTGAACTAAATATATTGCCAAGCTCGCTAATACAAGCTCCATGCCCCAAGCTCACAGTATAATCAGGTCTGGTTAGTACCCAACTAACCGTGGTAATTACAAAGAAGTAATTAAAATGGTGCAATAATAAAATTGTTTTGTAATTTATTTCTACCATGTAGAACTAAAGTAAATCCAGTTCACATGAAAATAACTGTGTAAGTTTGTTGGAAGAATAAATGAGATTCCTAAACATGTTTGAAATATAATATTCTGTAACAGTTAAACCAACTTTCATCAAAATGATATTTTAGATGTAAAACATTTCATACCATCAACAGGTGTGGATTCTATTGGTTTTTCCATGGCTGTCTCATTTGTTGGAGTTTCAGTAGTATTCGTTTCAACTGTATTGTTGTCATCATCAACTGATGAGGATTCTATGATTGTGGGTTCTTCTGACATCACTACAAAAATTAAATTTGAATCTTATTCACATACAGAATGCATGAGCATAATGATTCCAGTGGAAAGTTGAATTTTTTCTCTCCCTTTATTGAATATATCTCCCTGATTCAACTGACACTGTCCATAGATAGTTGTTGACAAGTAAGTTATAATTACCATTTATCGAATTAATGTGTTATTTTGTGATTTGTATGTAGATATTGCTTTGAAAACACTTGAGGTTATCTACTTTGAATTTGTACATGTTTGATAGGCCTATTGCTTTTTTCATGGCCTGACTGCATCGGTAGAACTTGAAATATAAGATTGGGAGTCTTACTTACCTTCTAAAACACACATTTCAATGAAACCCTATCACCTTTGTTTGTTCATGATGAAGCATAAGCACAGTAATTTATTGAAATTTGTGTAAATGCTTTTTTGACCATTTTTCCTTGTGTTGACTTCCGGAAAGGCGTTGCCCCTATCACGAAATAATGTATTGACCCTTGAACTTTTTTGAATTGACCCTTGAACTTTAATTTAGTGACATGTCATCCAATGTCTGATGTGAAAATAATTAGTATATTGAAAAGAATGTTTTGTAGCCATTTGCAGACGAGTTTAGGCCAGGGCAGGGGAGGATGGCCTGATCTAAGATAGAAAAACTGTATGATCTATAGAACTATTGGTCTGAACGAAATGCTGTGCAGAAAGTATGCCTGTTGTATTAGTCTATTTATACAGTAGGACCTATTTATGATGCTTTATAATTTAAACCAAAATATAGAAGAATACACACACATGTAAATCATTAAATTTAAAACGAACAAACATTAAATTTTCACATATGTTCTGTAATTTTTCGTATTGAAACTTGAAGAACTTACAAGGAAATCATTCATTTTCACTAACAATATTTTACCTCTTGGAAATTGTGCAAAATGCTCAATGGTTCGTTGTCGCAACAAAGGGGATAGGCTTTTATTGAAATGTGTGTTCTTAGATCTATAAGGTAAGTAAGACTCCCAATCTTTAACTCTTATATTTCAAGTTCTACCAACGCAGTCAGGCCATGAAAAAAGTAGTAGTGTAGCCTAGGTGAGCACTGACTGTCACTGTTTTTTGCATCCTACGACCCCACTACAATCTAAAGTGGTCGTAGGATTCGATAATGTGACTGTACATCATGATCATCATCTACAAGTAAAATTTTAAATGTTTGGAACTACTTTGAATTCAATACTTTAAAGGAATCAAATGACCATATTGAAACAGTATATGTAAAAATAGAAACCTTTATACATGTCCTAACTTTTCTAAATTTTAGTTTGTTTTGTAATTTAGCTATCATATATGTGGCCTCTTATATTTTGATGCTTCTCTGCCATGTTATTTTCGGAAAAATTAACATGGCTGAAACTCCTTAATTACAGAAGGCCACAGCTTTGCTGCTCATTATACATAACTATCTGAAATATTCAAAAGTTAGGACAAGTACATATGTTTCTACTTTTCATATACTGTTGCAATGTAGTCATTTGATTTGATTGCATAATTTTTTGCTTATTTTTGTATTATTTGAAAAATATGAATAATTTTTCTGACCTGCTGATCCTTGATATATTCTAGTACTGTGCTACAGTAGCAGTATGTCATAACCACACACGTGAAAGACTATCAGATCAGTCAGATCAGGCTACGATTGTTGTGAAATCGAATAGATCAAATATAAGAAGAAAAAAAGAAATCACCTTTTTCATCGGAGGCCATTGCAACACATTCCAAACTGTAACCACATTATTTCTAGATTGTCGAGATTAAGGGAATAACTATTTCTTTGCATTTATCCAGAAATTCCATTTTAGTGAGGAATTGTATAATAAGTGAAGTTAGATTTCCCAAAAAACAACTTTTAGTCTAGTTTTGTTTCTAGAAAATATTTAGAATGTGTACGTACACAATCCTTTGCTGCCATCTATATTTGATCGTCTAAACTAAACAGATGCAGACCGTAATGTCCGTGATTGACTCATATACGTATAGTGCCATTGTGGGATCCACAGCCTTTACTATCCTTCTGGAGTAGTTCAGACTGTGGGATACTGATTCTAATAAATGTTTCCTTTAACCCTAAAATGTACTGACCAATTAAATTATTTACAGAGTTCTATCATGGGCTTTCATCTATTGACCATGAGTATCATGGGAAGGCATTACATAAGCAGACAAAGCCTAATGAGTCATCCCAAATAATCCAAGTGTTGACATTATTTTTGCATGATAATTATTGTTTAAAATTCTGAATTGGAAAACAATAAGAAAAAAGAAGTATGTCAACATTATCATAGTTATTAATTTTCAATATAAAAACAAGAACCATCACGAGATAAATAAAAGTTTTCCACATAATGAATTCATTGAATTAAAGTTTACAAAGGGGAAAACAGGACAGTGCATTCTTTAATTAGGCACTAATTTATTCCTCCATATACACTGATTTACTTGGAGAATGCACTGGGCTGGGAACATGTTCTGCCTCATGATATATCAGAGTCTCTCAAAAGCGTTAGGTAAAGAGGGGCTCTGATAAATCAGAATGGTGTAGTGCACTAGGCCTACACTTTCAATCGTGGAATATTGAACACAAAAGAAACAAACTTAAAATTACACGATGCCCTGAACTAATTGCAACCACTTGCTTCTCATTATACTATAGTCAATAGTCATAAGAAATCATTTCTTCAGTCAATTTGTCAAATTGTTTAACTTCTACGTAGCCAAAGCATCACGATAACGTAGCATCTACCTAAAAAAGATACATAATTAGGTAGGTGTTACGTTATCATGATGCTTTGGTTACGTAGAAGTAAAACAATTTGATCAATCGATCGACTTAAATCCTTTAACTAATCTTTCTAATATTATATTTTACCAATCTTCAAGATGAATAAAAAACCCTCACACCATTTGTGGTTGACAAATATATCAAATTAATAATCTAAAGAATTTACCAAACCCCCATAGACATGCATGTACCATGATCTTTACGTAGTATGTCCGGGTTACGTTAGACGTCAGTGACAATGTTGTAAAAGAAAAACTCGATGCAGCTAAAACACTCGATCTACTATACCTTGCGTTTGGTGTTCATGAGCAACCCTTTGGCTTATTAGTAAACTAATGATTGTGTTATTTGTTTTTATTTGTCTGTTCCTTATTAATGGTCTATCGGAAGACTGTTAGATATTAATAGGGTACTTTTTTATTTATTTTTTTTTATTTATTAAAATCATATAAACATATATACATATAAGTGATAATGACACCCTAGTAGGTGTACGTCTTATCACAAGCTAAAATATTTAAAAATGGCATATTGTTAGTTACATTTATTATTGATGTTACAAAGTGTCTCAAAGTATAAATTATGTAAGCCAAACTGGGAAACAAATAAAAATAAAAATGATGTACATTATAAAAGATGTAATAAAACATTTTAATGATGTAGAATAGCTAAATGGAAAAAGGTGCATCTGTTAAAAATTTGTACAGGGTACTAATCATAGAGACTAATTACATGTCTTTTGAAGGCTCGCTTAAAAATAAAAATGGTTTTTGAATTTTTGAAAAATACTTTCAAAAATATACTTAACAATACAATTAGACAAACAGAGTATGTTATGCATTTCTAGGGATTAGGTGTAAAATGGTATACCAAAGTGGTAAAGACAGTATGGTACAACTGGTCACGCAGGGTAGTACAACCGAAGTATTGTATATTGTTCGTAATTTATATTTATTGCATCATTTATAAGAGAGAATATTTTTAATATAGTGTGATTTACAGATAAGATTAGATATATAAAGGAAAAATTAAATTATGTCTGTAAAAAGTTGTTATTTTGGGAAACATAGAAATAAAGTGTTATGCCTATGCCCATACATTGGGCATCTAATTAATGCATTAATAGAAGGTGTTCAATTGTTTCAGTTTCGCAAAAGTTACACAAAATCCATATTTTTGATCCATTGAATATGTTCGTGTGAGAGGAACTGAGGGAGCTACAAAACTAGCAAATGCATCGTGATTTTACACTAATTTTGGTATTTGGGATATTTCTGACATTTCAACCACCATAAACAAGGTTTTAAATCTGTGACATAATCACGTCTCGGGTATAAAAGTTGAACTTAACATGAGTATTTGGGTAAGAAAAATTGTCTGACTTCGACGGCTCTTACAACATTCACAATTTGGGGAAGATATCCAGAGTCCAGCGCATCTTTAGTCAAAAAGTGTTGATATAATGTTATTGTTATGCCCAACTATTTTGTGACGATATTCGCCGGTTGGCATCTGG